CTTATTGTGTAGTTACAGTCTGCACACTTTGTTCTTACCTCGTCATTAGAACACACACACCTTGTTCTTACTGTGTAATCACGGCCTGCAGACTTCATTCATTTATTTTTTAACTCAAGAAAGGTGCATTTATTTTCTACTCCAGGGTACCCATAATAAGCTGATACAGCAGTGATCTTTTGACTTGTATTTTTTGTCCTACAAATTGCATTTAAGTGTGTATGTGTATTTTAAATTCTTTCAAGTTTATTGTAGGTATATTGTGACAGGACGTATATCTCTATAGTACTTACTGTCACACGGACACCAGATTTTCTGTTACCCAATAACTGCAATGCCATTTTTACTGTACTTGATCCATTACTCAAAGGGAAAGCACCTAAACTGTGGTCAATCCAAAGATTTTAAACTAAATTACCTATGCAGTAAGCTAGATTTAAACTAGTAAAGTCCCTTTTAAGCACAATTCTGACTGACAATTCCCCATTATTCTAAGATTTGTACCCCTTTTTCTTTGAACTTCCCACCCCAAAACTTAATTGCTGTACCCTAACATTGGTGAGTTTCATATTTCATTCCACTACATTTAAGTACCAGCAGGAACCTAATTCATACCTTGTATTATGCTATAAATCACAGGGTGTTTTTTAATGCGTTACCACTGTAAACTTGAAATAAGTTGGAAGCACTCTGAGGCCTGAGTTAGACATATTATACAAAAAAAATGTGGGTGCAGTGCAGTTCAACATAGCTCTTAGTCAAGCCCTAAAAATAAAGCTTCTTACCTAAGTGTATAACATTATTCTTAACACAAGATAATTCCAGCTAATCTGCAACAACTTTAACAATCGTTGACTGTCCCGTGCTTATATCTCAATACCACCATCAAAGTCGATGTATTTTTCAGGTCCATCTTAATACCACAGATCTGAAGCAGGGATTACTGTGCCCCCTCTTGGTTATACATCAGCACTGCACTGTCATACAGAGCGTCATTACAAGCAAGTTCTTATAGTGAGATTATGGCCAACTGGTGTGATCATTAGAGTGATTAGAGTTGAGCAGCAGTGAAGCCAAAGACATACACAAGGGTGTCACATCAGACGGAGAAAAATACATTGTTTTACATTAAAGTGCTTTTATTGTATAGAACCAAGAGGGCAAGGCCGTCTGTTTTGATCAAAGCAGCAGCCCCCGGTGACAAATTAACCGCAGTGATTGTGTCAGTTTGTCACTGCATTGAATCTGAGACGTCGCCCATTCATCACGGAGGAGAGACGCATTTTCCCCCCTTCTCTCAGGATTCAGTGATAAGGGATGAATGAAGAAAAATGACAGAGAGATAGGACTTGTCCACTATCTATCACGGAGCAACAGGGGCCGTCTACTGTACGTTCAACCATCAAACGCTGCTTCTGCTTTTGTTCCTAGTTGCTTATTTTATATAGTGCTGCCAAGCATCATGAATCAAACCGGCTTGACTTTGCGGTTTGTGTCAGAAATATTTCACTACGTCCTTTAACGTACGAGCAACAGTGGATTGTGATTTAAAAGGCTTCAGTTGCAGTAGAGAGCCTTGAAATGTGATTGATTTTAACACCATGCAGCTCCGTTTTGGACATCTATTTTTTCCTGTTGTTTGTATTTTTAGCGCCTCTTTAAGTCCTTCTTCCCTCAACCAGGGGAAAAAAAAGCCCTGCCTGTTTGGAGTTTACAGGATCAAAGAAGAGGTAAATATCATTTCCATAACATTTGAACCAGTTAACCACCAGCACAATGCAGATAAACACTACTGTAAGCGCCTGACAATGCCAATGAGGCAGGAACTCTGTGATTTGCCGCTCCGCCAAAGAGGAGGGAAGCGAGCGCAAACATGGAGGAGGTGAGAGGTCAACTGTGCTCTCCCCGCATCACTTTCCAAGCAGCCCCTCAAGCAGTGGTGATGTTTTAGGCAACCGTGCCTCACTTTGGGGGGAGGCCTGATGGATGCCATTCCCAAGGTGAATGGAAAGAATAGCATTAAGCTGCACCACACTGCCTGGGGAGAGCTACACTGCTTTGGGTGATTCATCTATTGATTATTTCTACCCAAGCATGGAGGTGCCATGTAAACACACATATATTAGTAGTCTACAATGCACATGTGCGCCCCTGACACACATGCAGACACAGTGGATTCAGTGAAGCACGCCTCGGGGCCTACTCACTGTTTTATAATCACATTCCGACTTCTACCAGCTCGTGGGCATCTTCAAACCACAAGGCAGATGCATCTGATGGATAGCTAAATAGAGATGAATGAAGAGATGAAGGAATAAATAAATGATAAATGTGGATTACCGCTATTTGTGTGGGCCAACTATTGTGTTATTGATCAGAGCTGGTGTTTTTTTGTATGTATACTCGCAGTAGGCTACAGTATGTGGGCCAAGTTATATTGTTATGCTCATTCTGTGCTAAACAAAATGTGTAAAATTGGATTTTTTTGCTCAGTGTAGCGCTGAGGATATCCATGTTTTATCATGGGATGACAAAGGAATAACAATGTTCAATGATTTCTGTGCGCCATGCAATTCATGAGGAAACTTGTGAACAAAAGGCAGACTTCGGAAACTTCACTTTCACAACTTCCCTCTGAACTTCTGTATGAGCTTTCACAAAAACATTTTAGGTGTAAGACCAGTGTGAATATTGCTTTTAGATTAGTCTAATCCAAGTTAGACAGTCCAAGAAAATAAAGACTGACTTATTCTGAGCCTAAAAAGTTCTGTGTAGATTTTGGGGAGGATGCAGGGGAGACTTTCCCATCAATATTTAGAACATGTGCATTTGTCCCCTCCAATAAAAACATATAGCAGAGGACTTTTACTTTGACAAAATTTGAGACATTTGCACCATAAATTGATACAGAAAATGCACAAAGTGATGCATAAAAACATGGCTTATAATTTGTTACTGTTTGTAAAATGACTTTGTAACTGTTAAATCTTTCAGAAGACATTTCTGCAGGAGTGAACAGAGCCAAGGAGTTTGATGCATTTGCTCCTTCAGGAATTTGTATAATTTGTTTTTAAAAAGTCTTAAATTCGTGTCAAATTAGATTCACTTAAGATAATCAAGAATTAGACAGTTTCATACCACACATGAATTCAGACATCTATCTGAAATCTGACTCTTAGTTTGATGCTGGTTTCTCAAATGCACTCTATTTTAATGAAATCAATTCGTAGCCCTTTTAATTTTCACAGATCTGGATCTAATGACCTTAACTGGCAAAGTGTTTGGACAATACTACTAAAGATCTGCACAAAGACTAAAATATTTCAAACTCTTACATCATTTTTACATCATTAACATATGCACTGGGAGAGTCCTGCTGTTCCACTCGATGCCATTTACTTAATTTGCTCATACCTTGTTGCCCCAAATTCTTACAATTAATGAATTATTCTTCCTCGAGATTATAAACACAACAATGGATCTTTCTGAAAGCAGAATGCATGAGACTACATAATATATCACTGTGAAATCAAACAATTTAACCCCTTTATTTTGGTTTTTCTTATTAAGTTTAAGTATTTTCCTTTTAACGAAATGGGAGAAAGCTGGTGCAGAGCTATCTAATGGTGCTCTTTTGAATATATAACAGCAAGTTCCCAAGGAAAAGTCTTAAAAGGCTCTGAATTCATTAATCCAAAAACAAAGCTTTAGTTAGTATTTAAATGTCTTAAATCAATTTTGCACCTGACGTTGCAAAGTAAAATCTCAAAATAATTTATAACATCTTTTTTTTTGGTGGTGTGGGTGCAGTAAGGTGATTATAAAAAGATTCATGTATATACAATATATTGTCAATCGTCTTCACTCCAAAGTAACACACAACACGAGCTTGAAAAAAAAAAAAAAGTCTAGCTGTGGCCAATTGATCCATGTTTGTTCAGGTGTGTAAGTTTAAACAAGAGTGATCCACTGAGTGATTCTGCATGCACGCCACGGCCTCCTCATCAATTTGTTAGAACCAGGAAATGCTCATGTGACTGAGGTGTCCTCCAGGGTTTAGAATAGCCCGTTTGTTAATGTCTCTCTCCTGAGACAATAATCAACAAAACCTCTTTGTGCAGACGTTTTTGTTCAAAGGTTCATCTGTGCTGATAGCATCTTATGTCACGTGCTGGATCATGAATGTACATGACAGCGTAGCATTTCATGTTATACCGCATTATAAATCCAGCTTTCTTTTGTCTGCATAATCATGAACATCACTGCTCGGGTTGAAATCCAACCTTTCACTGCTAAAAAAGGATAATGCCAGAGTTGTCACTTACATTTGATATCATTGCTTTGGGCAGAAAAAGAGCTCCTCTCTGGCATGTGTGTGTTTCTCTTTCCACAGACTTTTTTTCTTTTTTTTTTTAAACGTTAGACATGGCTCTCTCCCTTAGGGGCGGTAATGGCATTCTCCATGACAACGGCAGTGTGACACGGCTGTGCCCTTGAGGGCCGGGCGCCCCCTCTGGGGGGAGCGCCGCGGAAACACGACAGGGTCAACGGTCACCTCCCATCATCCACCAGCAACCCGTCCTCCTGTTTCTGTGCCTCTCTCTCTCTCTCTCCCTCTCTCCTCAGGTGGAGCAAGGAATGTTAGAGAGAGAAAGAAAGTCTTGAAGCAAGCCCACTCAGTCCAGGCCTGGCAAACGTGGAGCTTTAGCCACAGGCGGTTCTGGCTAGGTCTCTACCTCACATAGCTCCATGCTGTTCCTCCAAGGCCAGGGCTGGATCAATACGTATAGTAGTGCGGATTCTTTTGGCACCCAAGTATAGCTATGCAGTATTGCCCTGAGGTATGGGTCCGTTAAAGACATAACAGTGTGTGCATGTGAGCAAAGTGGACTGAGTTTATTCAGGAAGGTGTTGAGATGCTTGGCATAAAACTGATGTTTCCAACAAGGATGTTTTTTTGTTGTTATTGCTGGAAATGCAGGAAATTCTCATGTCCCCATTAAATACTGTATGTAGTTTTTATTCTGGGAAAGTCTTTGAAATGGATGTGGACAGAGATAACCTTCGGAAAAATCCTAAGACATTTAAAGATGATTTAATATTAGAATAATGTGTCATTCATGCTCCTGAGTAATTAGAAAACAATATTTATGGTTATTTCTTTAAGAATAATACAAAATGTGTCACTTGTGTACATCCAGCAGAACTCCAATGATGAAAAAGACCTCACAAATGGATGCTGTCAGGATTTTCATTTCAGAAACAATGCTCTTCTGCCACCTGCTGACTAAAAAGCAAACCAGTCTGAGTTCATGATTTTACTGCATTCTTCATGTCTTGAAGCAGACAAACGTACACCCCGAGGGAGACAACACATCCCAGCAAACACATTCAATAAGCCTATTATTGTGAGTACATCACATCTTTTGTTTTACACAAACAAAAATTAAAAAGCTCTCACATCAGTGTTGTGTCCGCTTTGGCACGTCTTCAATGACAATTCAAAAGGGAAGTAAAGAAAAAAAAAACAGGACACTGTCAGTTCAACAGCTCGCATCCTGTGCATTTGGCTTTTCTTAGAACAGAAAATGTTGTTCAACCTGTGAACATAAAGTCCAACATAAAATGAGACAACAAGGTGTCTTGCACAAAAATGAAAGAGAGAAAAAATAAAACAATCGTAGAAAGAAACCAAGTCGGTTGCTTGTCGTCATAGAACAGTTTGTCTGCGTAGAAATGATTCAGCTGACCTTTTGTTTAAGTTATCTGGAGGTCACATGCCGGCGTCCTCGCTCTGATTCCTCACCCTAAACACAGACTTCTGTTCAAAGATGTGTGAGGTAACCAGTCAGGCACCTGCAGCAGAGAGAAATATTTACATCACATCTTTCCTTAAGAGGCAGGAATTAAAAACAGTCAGACATCAGTTGTCCAGAAATATACTTGTCATCATGCGTTCAGTGTCTCCATTATATTTTCTATTCCAAGAGAGCTTAAAAAATATACGTCTATTTCTTCTTTCTCAATGTTAGAGAATCTACTGTGTGACATTTATAATTCAGTGTGTATGGTGAAGTTTCACTATGAAGGTAAACAAGCAACTGTTATTCGTCAAATTTTTAAGGCTTTATAACACTTCAGTTGCATTTTTATTTATTTATTTTATTTGTTTTCTATTAGTTTTTATTTTCATTTCATTTTTAAATTTTGTTTTCCATTCAGGTTAGATGAAGTTAGTTGCCAGAGTGGGGTTGCTCCTTTCAGTTTAATTCTTGTTGTTTCAAAATGTTTCATTTTATTTGTCAGTATCATTTTATTATAATGTGGTGGGTTTTTGTCAGGAGCAAGATTTAAGAATTTCAGAAAAGGTATTACAATACAAACACAACTAAGGACTAATTTCCCTGACATTTTAAAGTAAAGTAAAAAACACTCAGTCAAAATTGAGCCTCATTTAATCTACAAGGTTAAACACTGTCCAAAGTAAAAAGCATGTTAAAAGAGCCATTCAAAATTTGTAATCACATCTTTTAATAACTATATCTGATTTTAGCTTCAGTAAACATATGCACCAACTGACAAAGACTAAAACTAAAGACACTTCCTGTATATTTTAATTTCATTTTAGTTAGTTCTGTAAGTGCACATTATCATTTCTTAGTTTTCTTTTTTTAAATCTAGTTTTCATTATTATTTCAGTAAATTAAAATGTTTTTTCACACGTAGTTTTAGCTTTAATTTAGTTTTCGCCAGCTATACTGATCTTGTTTCTGAGACCAGATATTTCACCTTAACGCTGAATACTACAAGAAAGCAAAGGACCTCTAATGTCAATATTTCTGCTTATTATGTTTCGTCATTTATTTTGTCAGAATTTGTTCTGTTTGTAAGATTTCCATTGAAATGTACCACATATAAATTATGGTGCAGGACATCTAGAGGGTTTTAATAAGGCTGCGCATATTAATATCTCAGTGATTACTGTGTGTGTGGTACGCACCGTACTGGTACGTGGACCTGGGTGGTGAGGGAAGTGTGCTGTGTGGACCGCCGGGGGCCTGAGGGCCTAAACTTTTTCCACGGCTCTGGAGACGGGACCTCTGCACGGCCAACGCTACTGCCTGTGCGAATCTGGACGGGGCCGCACTCATCTTATCCAGAGCTTTTGGTGCAGCTGCAGACTGGTCCGTGGCCGTGGCTGTAGTGGGCTCGTTTTCATGGTCCTCACTGAATGCATTGGTTTGTCCATTGGAGGTCGGACTTGGGGGCACAGAAGATGGCAGAGAGGAAGCTGTGGTTTGTTTTCTCTCCGCCTCCATGACCTCTGTGTCAAAGAAGACAGGTGGAGGAGGGGGAGGGAAACATTCCTCATCTTCATCCCCTTCTTGGACCATTTCCTCCTCAACTTCCTTCTCATCGTTTTCCTCTTCTTGGACCACTTCCTCCTCAGCTTCTTCCTTAATGTCATCTTCTTCTTCTTGTACCACTTCCTCCTCAGCTTCTTCCTTAACATCATCTTCTTCTTGGACCACTTCCTCCTCAGCTTCTTCCTTAACATCATCTTCTTCTTGGACCACTTCCTCCTCAGCTTCTTCCTTAACATCATCTTCTTTTTGGACCACTTCCTCCTCAGCTTCCTTCTCATCATCATCATCTTCTTGAACCACTACCTCCTCTGCTTCCTTCACATCATCATCCTCTTCTTGTACTACTACCTCCTCAACTTCCTCATCAGTGTATGAACCACAGTGGTCGACATCTGCCCTTCCAGACTGTCCATTGAGGCTTTGAAACTCAGTCTGATCCTCTGAGTTGATCTGAACATCACTTGTAAGTTCTCCATCAATGCAGTCTGGCTGTGCTGCTGCTGTCACCTCTGTGGTATCTTCAGGTTCATCCTCCTCCATCTGCTTTTCATCAGCCTCAGACAGAGGTGAACCTGGACTATCCTGATGATGAAGTGGGGGTGAAAGATAAGCTGGCCTGTCAGAAGTCTGATAGGAAGGTTCTGGACTCTGCAGCGGTGTTTCAGCCTCCAATCTGTCAGGAGGGCACAGATCCTCCTCAGTCTCAACCTTGGGAGAAGCTTCACTCTCAGGGTTATCTTCTACTGCTATCTTGTCTGAGGTGACTTCTGGATCATGAGACTTCGGTTTCTTTGCGGGAACCACTTTGAACGTGGTCATTCCCTTCCTGTGTACAGGATCCTCCCAGTCATTCTCAGTGGGGAGGTTGGACGTTATAACAGGTTCAAGCTCTGCACAGAAAACCCCATTATCTGAACACCTCTGCGTTGCGGACATATAGGAGGAGCCAGTGTGTAGTTTGGAGAAGGTGGCAGAGTTACTCAAACGCTTGACTAGTGTTCCTTTGGAAACAGAGGACGTCAGGATTTTGGCAAGAGCACAGCGGGCGTCGGATAAGTCTTTCCCACGAAACGAAGGCAGATATGGCTCAGCAGCTTCATGGAGGTGAGCGAATGATGGACGGGAGGAGGATGAGCGTGGATGTGATGGATGTGGTGATGAAGATGAGGATAGTGGGAGGTTTACATAGTCTGACTCTTCGCTTTCTCTCAGCTCCTCCACAGTGTTCAGGGAGTTTACAGTCCCTGGAGAAACAGGAGAGGCTGAATTATTCAAATTAAGGGTTTTCACAAGCCCTTTTTAGCACCAAGTTTCATTCCTTGGTCTGATAATGGCAATTCTCAACCTGACAATAGGCGTGAAAGGCCCCTCCTAAACCATATCGGTGATGCTTATCACCACTGATAACAGCCATTCAGTGGTCTTATAACAGCCGTGTCGGCTGCTTAGTTTAAAGTTCCTAGAGACCTAAACACATTTTAAAAATGAAACCAAGTAATAAAGTTAAATTAATTGTTCCCATTTTTATTGGAGTAAGATAAATACTAATTAATAATGAATAAACCCTGCATATAAACTGTAAAATGTCACATTATTCATCAAGAATGAAGAATCATAATGAACCACAAACATACACAATATGTAGATCTACATAAAAGAGACAGAAATGAGCATGTAACATTAAAAATGATTTTAGAAAAGACAACATTTATCATTTTACAAATAGGTCTGGAAAAACAGTCGTTGTTCATAGGTGTACCGCAAGAGTTGATTAATTCACCAAATACTACTGTGATCTGGCTTCTGTCATGAAGTAAAGGCACAGCAATTAGTTTACAAAGTCTAAACAACTGAAACGAGAACACACGGAAAAGAGAAAAAAGAAAGATACAGAATTTTCACAAAAAATAACAGAATAAGCACACAAAAACAAAAACAGGACAAATAATAAATAGCAATCAAGTGCAGCAGGCAACAGTGACACACATCCGTAAAAGCCACTAAGATGGGAAAGAGGAAGAAGAGGCCAGCGCAGGAGGAGGACGCAGAGGAGGAATAGGGATGGTGGAAGGAGGAGGGGAAAAGGAGACGGCAGCAGCAGCAGCAGCCCTCAATCACCCCCCTCAGGTAACACAGAGTCTGTAAGCAGGGAGGAGAGAAAGCTCGGCTTTAGGGCAGCAATCTTCAGTCTAAAGATGTCCAAAAAACACAATTCCAAGACGTGTACAGCTAAGTCTATTAATGTCGCAAAATTCTGTTTAGTCAGTGTGCAGCCCTGTCTCCTAGATATAACCTTTAACATTTAATCAAAATCATGACCTTTCCTTCCCCTAACCGAAGTTCTTTCGTTGCCTAAACTAAGACAGTAGTCAGGCCATGAACCTGAAGTTCTGGTGTAAAGATCCTGCGGTTTGTAGGTCCACAGTCCTCCCCAACCTACTCCTGCCAAAGTCTAAGAGGCACATAAATGTAATGTTTCATTACCTAAAACAATCTGAAGACAGCATTTAAGAAAGCAGTTTAATAATACACAAACATAATTTCTAGGAAACAGGGTTGGCCTGAAGCTCCCAGTGATAAAAAACTTCTTCCATCTAACATGAAAATGACATTTTGAACTCTCAAAGACCATGTTTGTGAACGTGTAGGAGGACAGCTCAAGAATGCGATCAACAACTCTTGGCTGGGAGTTGTTTTCTCAGCCTAGGATTGACACCAGCTCAGCAGAGTGCTGCATGATCGTGGCAAAGAAAACAAGGGAGTGAAGCAAAGACACTGCTGAGGGCAATTTAGCCAGATAATTACAACACTTTATGTTTTAAACTTCTTTTCTTTTATGCTCCTTTTTTAAACCAATGCCACCTGAGTGCATAATGTAGTGTTTCTCACTTAATTACAGATCCCTAATAACCTACGTCTCCTAACAGCATGGTCATTGTCCATTCAAGTCAGTGACAGCAGATCAGTGGGAAGGAGCTGTGCACAGAGAGAACCAAGGTGGGGAAAGCATATCAGACAGACTAATACAGGGGAATGAAAGCTTGGACAATAGAGGGATTTATCTTGGAACAAACTGAAGCCAGTGCGTTCAATAGACATGGCTCTCCGGGTCACTTTAATTGCCCTGAACAGGGTTAAATTGTTCTGACTGATAAAAGCTGCGTTTTGCGCTGGATTTAACTGCAGAATCTTCTTGTCTGACCGTATTCGGTTTGACATTTTAATCTTGATTTAACTTCAATCTCTCTTGACCTCGCGTGGCGCTGGCTGAAGCCGTGAGGATTTGGCAGATACAAGAACTCACCCCTCTCTAAACCCATTTTGATTTCCCCCTGAAATACTGTAAAAGGTCAATTGGGATTATCATACAAGCATATTTCATGACTTCTGCGATTTCAATGATACTGCCTCCACAGTCACCACCAGATGGCAAAACAAACAGAAAGCTTACCAGTGGGATCAGGCTGTATTTGGACTGTCAATGTTAACTCAGAATTGACTTTTATGTAATGGCACTGACCCTAATTTATACCTTTAAATAACCAGAATTAACACCCATTTTATTGGGTTGGCAGGCTCAGATCTTAATCATTAGAATTAAAATGTGTCCAGCACAGGATCCAGTAAATGTCAATCACTAAAGCCAATGGTCATCAATCATCAATGAAGGTTTTACCTTTAACCTGGGTGTCTGTCTGCAGGTCCTGGTGGCCGTTTGCACAGGGAGGAGGTGGGGCCCTCCTCTTGGTTCTCTTTAAGGTGGATTCTGCAGACCTCTACAGAGAGACAGTTGAATGGCATCAGTGCTTCTTCATTCTTGTGAGTTATTTATATCACAAACTTGGCCCATGCACTAATTTTCCACCATGTTTATTTAAATCTATTAAAGGGGGGGGGCTGTAATGTTCATTTACGGGTCCATACACATATTTTGGGTTTCTACTAGAGCATGTTTATATGATTTAATGTTCAAAAAACACCATATTTTTCTCATACTGTCTGTGTTGGAACAACTGTAATCACCCTCTGTCCAAAACTCTATGTTTTAATTAGATTGAGAAGAACAAAAGAAGAAGACCTTCCTCCCCACCATCAACCCACCTGTGATCCTCCTATATGACAGGTGCCAAGGTTGTTTGGGACGCTCTGTGACGCACCCATGGGCGGCTGAGGGGCTCGCCTCTTCTTGGGCATGTCTGTTGGCAGGATGTTACAAGGGGAAACACCCTGCTCATTATTATTGACTCCCCCTTGTTTGATGAGACCAGGAGAAGCTGGGGCGCTCCTTGCCCCCTCCTACAAAGAGGGAAATATTTGGTCACAAGCAGAAAAGGTTAGAAAATCTACATTCAAGTGTAAATTCACATTTCTCCTACAAGCTGATAACACACTGTACCCTTTCAGCTTTTTTCTTTCTTCGTCTGAATAAGCTGAGAAACCCTGTGTTCTCCTTCTGTTTCTTCTCCTTCTTTGGCAGGTCTGTGTAATAATAGAAGATCTTGATCAGTAACGGGTGGGTAGCAGAGCGGGCGGATAACACTGAGACTGTGCATGAATGTGTTACCTTGTAGCGGAGGTGGTGAGATGACCTCTGTTGGCGTGACAGCTGTTTCAGACAGAAAACAATGCCATTATCAGGTCAGATTGTACAGTATGAGCAGATATATTTAGAAGCAGGTATACAGTAGGAGTGAAATGTCTTCTAAACATTCTTTTAGATAAGCTTTATTGACTGCAGGGTTTTGTCAGAGCACCAAAAGTATAAAACAAAACTAAAAGACAAACTTTGTGGTGCCAATTTGGGTACACAAAGGCTCAGTTCCAATACACCCCCCATGCCCTGCCAACTGAGCCTGTAACACTCTGTTTAGTGTGTCCATGTGTAGTGGTATGGTGTTCTGATTAATCCTCAAGACTGGGGATGGATTTCATCTGTATTTGAAATACTCAGAGGGGCAGATAATGTATTGTTTTCATATTAATGTATCCTCTAACATACCTGCTTCAGGTGTTTTGGGTTGGTGCTGGTGGTCAGTAGGCTCCTTACCAGCTGTGTCTTTGGCAAACACTTCCCTCAGGCCGTGGTCATTTAAGGTCTTGGTCAGGTCCAATGTCTCTTTGGACTGAGAGTCTCTCAGTAAGACGGTCGTTTCTACTTGAAACTCACACTTGTCACACACCACTGGCAGCAGCACCTCAAGGGGCACTCTGGGGTTCACTCGCACCACAGCCTTATGGGACTTATTGTAGTTGATCAACAGACGTACAGATGCCTGCAAAGAGAAAGTACAGTTTCTACTTATCTTATGCAACTAAGGAAGATAAAGATAGATAAATACTGAATTCCCATTAGTTAGGACTTAAATTATGTTTGTGTCCGTTCACTATGAAGCTGATAGACAACTTTTTTAATGCTACCTCAGGCATGTACGGCCTCCTGATCTTTTCCTCCACCCCTCTGGGCTTCAGCACAATCTTCTCCGCTTCCAGCGAGCCAATAGGAGAGTTTGGTTTGAAGTTGATGTTGTTCTTGTTGGGCGACAGAACCTCAACAGTGTAGTCCGATGGATTCAGGTGGTAACTTGCACAGAGGGTCACCAGTAAGTCCATCACTGGTTTACTGTGAAGAGGAGAAAATTCAAAGGAAATAAATGACCATAAATAACCTGTGAGTGTTATGTGTGATTACTGTTATTGTTGTGTTATGATTACAGCATGATTAAAGTATGCAGGTGCAAGTTTATCATACAACTAGAACTTTACAAAGAGGAAACATACCAAACATTGGCAGTAAAACTATTTAAATAGCTTTTTATCAGCAAACTTGACTCAATTTCCACTTGTGGCCAAGACCAGGACAAGGTTAAAGGGGCACTTGTCAGGGATTTCAGCTCGTTCTCATTCCAAGGGGATCAAATATAGACACTATCTCACACTGCTTAGTGCGTGATATGATTTCCAAAGACACTCTTTAACATCATTATGAGATGCACTGGGCTTTTAACTAACTCCAGTGTAAACCCATCTACAGCAATGCTTGATGCTGAGACCTCCTGACACAGTATAAAGGGTGAGAAAATCAGCGTAGGGTGGGATGAAGGGGAGGTGGATGGGTCTAACAAAACTGGACTTTCATCCAGGAGAACATAGTTCATACAGTGATTGAAAACAACATTAACCTCTTGTTACAATATGTTTCAGCTGTGCATCACATGGATATGCTAAAGGGGGCCCTGTATTATGAGGCACCAAGGAGTGTAATAAAATGTCAGTATTAAACGACTTTGGAATGACAATTGGGGATTTGCCAGAGACAGATGAAAAAAGAACGTTTAAAATCAATGCAAGTGAGGCCAAGACATCCTGTTTTAACCCCTCATATGGGTCAAGCTCCAAGAACACTGGATCCTACATTTCCCATAATGCAGTCAACACTAGCACGGGACCAAGACAGATCCAAGGCATCAAACAATGGCATTTTTTTAAATTTTTTTTAAAAAGCTTGTAATATGGCCTACCTTCCATGCACTGTGGCACTCTTCTCCATCCCCCCTGGCAGGACCACAGACAGAGAGTGGTCCCTCTCCAATGGATTCACTTGCTCATCCATCTCAATGGACCTCAAGGGCTGTCAAAACCCTCTCTCTAGATCTGAAGCTGATCCCAGTGTCAGGTAAACCTCCTGAAAGGAAAGAAATCCTTTTTAGTGGAAAAACATACCTCATGTCTAAGAGAGTTGAGGCTTCGTCTCTAGAAACACCACACGGTCAGTGACAGGGTTGCCTAGCACTAGTGTGAAATATCTTACAGCTGCTCTAAAACATTTCAACAACGAGATTTGAAGGCTCGACTCTAACTCCCATAGATACACCGAAAAATCTATTGTTCACCGTCGAGCTGCGACTCATGACTAATTTCATTTTCTGTTAATCTGCTGTTAGTTTTCTTGATTAATCATTTGATCTTTAAAATGTCAGAAAATAAACGCATTAGTGTCTTGAAGACTTTCTCCTGGGACCAAGTCGGCCAACCAATAGTCAACAATTTATCATCACAGAAGACCAGGAAAACCTGCAGTCACATTTTAAGCAAGGGCGTAGGTTTTGATTCATCATTTAGGGGTGTCTTATATGAAAGGGTGGGCTTGGTGGTCCTCAGACAGAAAATGTTGAGCATTAAACACTTAATTACCTGCATTCTGGAGAATTTTTAAAAGCTTGCCTTTTCTGCATCAATTTATGGTGTAAATGTCTTTTATTATTTTCAAAATAAAAGTCCTCAGCTACTTTTATGTTTTTTTTTATAAGGGGATCCAAATGCATATGCTCCTTGAGCTCCCCCAAATCTACACCTCTGCTTTTAAAACAGTTATCAGCGTTGTTACTGATTTACTTTCTGTCCATTTATTGACTGAGAAATAGATTATTTCAACTCTAAGTCACAGTACAGTTAATCAGACTAATCTAATCGACACTGATGCTCTGCCAAACACAGATTTATCTTTATTAAAAGCTATTAACCTGAATATTTATTTTGGTAACGTCACAAATTAACCCTTAAAATTGTAGGCTAACGTTGCCTTTGAAACTCACGTTGCAAGCCTATGAAAAGACAAGCAAATTAAATATTAACGTTATGTCAAATGTAAACGGTTACGTTACCTGAAAAGCCTCTTCCTCAAACCTAAAACATGACAGTCCAATTTCGTCGACTGGAGTATTTCCACTTTAAACTGTTACTAACTTAGCTAACTTTTCCCGAATACTACGGAGCAACTTCCAACGGTAGCCGACGGTGTTCATTTAAATAAGGAGACTCCTCGCCTCCCTCCGAGAATTAAACCTCTCTCTGACCTCACCTTTGACCTTTTGTAGCTCTTTTATCATGTCACTGGAACAGTCTATTTAAACAGTTTGATTAAAGTCAACGCCCTCGGTTTATTTTAGGCAATGGCAATGCACCGGAGCGTGCCAGCAAAACAGCTGTGTGTAACTGTTCATCAACACGCGCGTGCTACTGTTCCTTCAGCGCGCGGGCACTGAGGCGCGCGCATGTGAAGAGGTCGCTGAGGACAGCGCGAGCACATCTACACATTAAATAACGTAGTTTCTTAGTTATTTAAATGTATTCAAACATAGTTTATGTTTATTTACATGCGGTTTATTGTAGAAATTAAATATGTAACATGTCAGTTTATATTAAAAATTTGAATCATTCATTATTTATTTAGCTGTTTACATGATTATGTATTCATGCTAAAACATAGCCTATTTTATTTATAATTATGTGATAGTTGCTATGCTTATTCATACTAATTCTGCTAAATACAAGTATTAGAGTAAGCTTAATTAATACATTTCTTCCCAAAGTACAGTATATCAGCACTAGAAGCACTGGTTCAGTGGTAGAAAAAGCCAAATAATCTTCAGTGCTATTTTTCTGAGAAACTATATAGTTAACATCTATGTGAATAATACTACATGACATCATAAAAAGCCATGTTTGTCCACAATGAGTCTTCACAAGCTCCATGCAGTCCCTGTCTGTCTTCAGCCATGTTGTTCAAGCAGTAAGATCCAAATAAGCTTAAACTGTTTCCCCAGGAAAAGGGATTAGTGCTTCTAAATGGCTGCGCCTCTCCATGCAAACACACTCAGAAACTCTCAACTGACTATATAAGCATCCATAGCCTTTTGCACTTACCTGTGTCCGCAGATTCTTCCCATTCTCTGTCAACTCTTGTGTGTTGTGAAGTGGTAGGAGGAGAGAGGCTGAGGAAGAGAGAGGTGTTTTCCCCTGTAATCCCTGTTTAGCAAAGCTACCACACCTACAGGCCCTGCCCAGTCATGTGACATCACTTTGCATGTTTGTTTGAGTGTATGCTGTGGTGGTGGCTGTCGTGAGAGGGGATATCTGCATGAGCATGCGCATGGTAACCTGGTGAGCCAGTCTACAATGTGAAAGATCCTCCCTAACTGCATCATTGTTAAAAGAGTATACCATTCAATTTGTAAAAAGGACTCTAATCCACATAAGCTACTGATCCTCTCTACACAGTCGGACCTGGTATAACCATTGTTGATCAGCCATATACTATAGTCCACCATTCTGGACAGCATACAGACACAATTTCAACCACAGAACTGAATAAGCAATCATGTAAAAAGAAATGTAAAAAGGAGGTCCACAATAACCACAGCCACTATATTGGGCTTTCAGTTTTGCATGATAGTGTCTTTGCTCCACTGGAAAATCACACTCTCCTGCTCCCGCTCGGCTCTCTCTGTCACTTTTCCTCTCTCCACCTCTTCTGGTCTTCTGGGAAACTTAGTGAATCACTAATTGAGAAGAAGTAGGCTAGTTCAGGCAATCTGAGGGAGGGGAGTAGACCAAATATAACCACTGGGATGCATTACACCAGTGGTGCCCAACCTGGGGGTCTGAACCCCCACAAGAGATCTTGATATAAATTTAAGGAATCACACAGCAATTACTTAAAAAAGGAGACCCAGTGGATAATTTGACCTCTTCAGGCCCCAAAATATATTCATATAAAACATGACAGAAGCATGTATTATGTATCATGTATTGGTGACAACTACAAATGACAACTTGTAAACACATACAACCTGTGACAAGGGGTAATAAGTTAACATAGCTTTGTTTTAGGGGATCATAAAATGTTGGGAACCTTTGCATTACAGATCAAAAATTGGGTAGGCTATATCTAACATTGTACAAAAATATAAGGGTGGAGCTTTCCATTTGAGACATTACATCAGAAATAACAACGTTAGTTTCAGCCTGCTTATATGACATTTAGCACATTAGTATATCAGCAAAGATGTAGTGGGGTATAGTGATTTTGCCAAGCGGTTGTTGTCCCAAGCCTGGGACAACAACTGTCTCACCCAATCAACGTTTGTGATGTCATCAAAGAGCGCCCTGCTGCCAGGGCCCTGCAAAATATATACAAAATGGCTGTGCTAAGAGACGCAAATTACAACAAGAGACACAACCTGAAAATTTTACTTTAGTTCACACTAGTCTGCTACTACAGACATTAAAATATTTGCTTTTGAGATTAATTGTTAGTATTTTGCCACCATGGAACAATAAGCTAACATTAGCAATGGTCACTACACAGTAATATCAGACCTCTGAATGCCGCGACTGACCAATCAGAATACAGCATTTAATAGAGATGTGTAATTAAAGAAAACATGTTCTTTGTTTGGATTGTTAAAAGGACAGTGAGTCATAGATTTTTGTTTCTGGCTGCTAGAGTGAGTGGGCTAGCTGTTGCGGGCTAGCATTAGCATGCTATGTTGTCGCAGTGTATGGAGTGAATACGTTTGCTGCTAGCCACCAGCTGCAGCCACCTCCATGTTGAAAACTGTGTGCAGACAACTCCTACACTCTGAATTTTACATATCGTCCCTTTAATATTTGTGTATAATATCAGAGTACATTTTATACATTGAATATTTTATATATATTTGCTGTTAAAGATGTACTTTGCCAGTGTAAAGAGGTTAGCATACTAACATTAGCATTTACAGCCTCACTGAGCCACTACAGCTCTTAGCCTTGTCAGATTTGCCTGCTCAATTACATAACTTCAGATTTATTGGCAATGCAGATTGCTTAACCTCTGCGTCTGTATATTTATGACACGTGTTTCCTAAAGGTTGACATTCAGATGAATTATGTAAAAATACTCTGTAGCACAGGCTTTGTAATTTATATCTAAAATACACAGTTATAGATTTAATCAATATGTCTCAAATCAAGTCTCTGTTATCCCATTATTTACATGTTGAGTCATTCTTGTTTATTGTTTACAGTAATTAGTTGTGCTGTATGTAGGGTAGAGTAATTATAGGACAGTTATTTACCTACAGCTCTGATTCAAAGAGGGATTTCCTGGATTTTGTAATGAGTGATTAGTCAGGCCTTCTTACAGAGACCATTCATAACACACTAATGAATTACAGAAACTCAAATGGATGTCAGCCCTGGGGTAGACTGAAGTAGCATCATACAAAGCTCTTGATTTATCTGCATACAGTAAGTGATCGGTTGCAGGCAGTTAAGTGGGAGTTTTAATCAAATTAAGCACAAGGAACACATGTTCACACCTACTGTAATCTTGTAATCTCATTGTGAGGTCTGTCGGTGGAGACTCAATGGGATTCTACCGTAGATGGCTGCAGTAAACAGGTCGCAGTGCAACTGTCTGGGTTAATGAACTTCTTTTGATGACTAACAGATGAACAGAAAGCTTGTTAGTCACACCATCCAGTCTGTCACTCTGTATCATCACTAACCATGTTGTGAAATGGAAGACGGCTCGGAAAAATGTATTGACTTGAAGACAGAGATAGATTAAACTCAGGCCTATAGCATGATTTCCACCATGGACCTGTCATGGCGTGACACTGGAGAGCTTTATTTTTCCTGTCAGGGGAAATCAAAATGGAAACAATATGAATTCATTTCCCCGTGTTATCTTCTGTTAACATTCATATAGGCTGATGTAATCTCTTGAACAGAGTCAGTAAACTCAGGAAGTTTGTTCCCAGCAGTGTACAGAATGTGTACTGCTCCATCCTTGACCTGTCTGTCCGTCTGAACATGACGGACACAACTGTCTCTTTTTGCTGTTTTCCAGCTTTACTGTAACATAGACATCAAAGGTGGCATAGCCAGAGGCAGAGGGCTAGATTAGAGTTTCAAATGCTAAATGGAAACATTTGTCTAAAATGCTACAACCTATTTTTGACATGCAGCTGTTTGAACAAGGCTTCAAAATTCATCACTCTGCTACTAATGAAACATGCAGCGAAGTCACAGAGAGCTGCCAAGAAGGAAAACCCAGCTTTGGAAACACTGTTTACACTGGTGGAATATAACAAGGGAAACATTGAATATGTGGCAGCTTTCCATGTGTTCCTAGGCATTATGCGTTTGTATTTTTGACTGTAAACCATAAATACTTGTTTCAAAATTTCAAGTAATGTCCTAGAATCTCATTATCGTCAAGTTGAGAGTGTTGTGTACACACATGCAGCCAATTTTGTATGATTTTGGGTTGAGCCAGTGTTTGATGGCTTCATCTGTGATTACAAGGACCAATTTTAAAGGGTTATGCTTTCCATTCTGGCACTCTGACAGCCATGGCATGGCCCTAAGAGGCGAAACTCAGGGCAAAAAAAATCCACCACCACCAAAAGTCCACTTAATAAATATATTTCTCTCAAAATTTGGTGTCAAATTTGTTAAAACCCTTGCAAGTGAGCACTTCTACTTATCCAAGCGAATCCCTCCACCTGACAGGTGTTGCACATCAAGATGCTGATTTAACCAAATGATTACAGCATAGGTGTGTCTTGGGATGGTCACAATTAAAGGCCTCACTCTAAAATGTGCAGTTTGATCACACAACACTGCCACAGATGATACAAGTTTTGAGAAAGCGTGCCATTGGCATGCTGAACACAGGAATGTCTACCACAGCTGTTGCCCTGAACTTTAATGACCATACGCTGTCTCAAATGTTGTTTCTGTATATTTGACAGTACATACCACAGACTGCATATAACCACACCAGCTCAGGATCTCCATATCCAGTGTCTTCACCTGCAAGATCATCTGAGACCAGCTGATACAATAATTGGTTTGCACAATTCGTCAGAAACAATCTCAGGAAAGCTCATCTACATGCTCAACAGCCTCATCAGGGTCTTGATCTGATGGCAGTTTGTTGTTGTAACCGACTTTAGTGGGCAACTGCTCGTCGTCGATGGCGTCTGGCACTTTGGAGATGTGTTCTCTTCACAGATGCATCCTGGTTTACACTGTCCAGGACAGGTGGCGCTTATGGCGTTGTGTGGGCGAGTGGTTTGCTAATGCTAATGTTGTGAACAGAGTGCCCTATAGTGGAGGTGGGGTTATGGTATAGGCTGGCATAAACTATGGATGACTAACACAGGAGTATTTTATAATGGTAATTTGAATGCACAGAGATCTGTGATGAGATCCTGAGACCGATCGTCATGCCATTTATCAGCTGCCACGACCTTGTGTTGTAGCATTATAGTGCAGGGCCCCATGATGCAAGGATCTGTACAAGCGGAAAACAACCCCGTTCTGTGATCCACTGAGCATGTTTGGGATGCTCTCAGCATGTACGACAGTGTGTTCCCCTTCCTGACAACATACAGCAACTTCACACAGCCACTGAAGAGGAGTGGACCAACATTCAACAGGCTACAATCAACAACCTGATCAACTTTATGTGAGGGAGATGTGTTGAACCAAATACTGACTGATTCTTTGGGGGTATCTGTGACCCCAAAAAAGCATTTTCTGTAGTGCTAGTCATGTGAAATCCTAATAAATATCTTTTGTCAAGATCAAACTGCACATTTTAGAGTGATACCTTTTAATTGTGACCATCCCAAGGCACACCTGTGCTGTAATCATGCTGTTTAATCAGCACTAACTAAGTGCTCACTAACACAAATTTGTGACCAAAACTTTGAGACAGAAAGTCTCCAATCTTTCACTTAAACCTGTGAAAAAATGGGAGCAAAAACAAAAATACTTCATTTAAAGTTTTGCTCAGTGTGTACATAAAAAGACTAACAATAGAGAGTCCCTGTGCATGAATGCATAAATGCTGCAGCAGTGAAACAAATAACTTGAAACAATAAGATGTGTTTAAAGGAATTGTCAATTATGTTCTCATGGTGAAGTGAAACTACTTGCACCCATGTGAGAGTGACATGCAACACTGAGCGCTTAAGGGTGTGTCCACCTCTGGCGACTGTGAGGGATGTAGTTGAATGAGTTTGAATCACACAACAACGCAATGAATCCATATAAAAAACATTTGAGGTTTGTTGACCTTTGTGCTTTACACAGACCACAATAGTAGAGGAGAAGATACTTGATTCCAGTGTGTGCTTTATGTAACCGTGTTTGGGTGTAATTCCACCAACTGTCCAGCAGATGGTATAAATGTACAAGAAAAATCCAGAGGACTCATTGTGCACTGACGTCTGCACCCCAATGTGGTGTCTATGCTCCACGTGAGCACGCACATGCCAGTTTCCTAACACCTCAATCTGAACTTTCATTAAATCAAAATTATTATAAATTATTGATTGTGTTGCCAATACAACAACTTTTAGAGATTAAAAAGCTTTTACCTTAAGTTTGGTTTCAGTTATTGTACACATTGCCACTGCTGAAAAAGCTTTTAAAAAGTAGGCCTAATATATTTTCTTAAAAAAAAAAAAACAACACCTGTAATGTAGCTTTATGGGGCTATTAAAAAAATAAGCAACTTTTAAACTGAAACTGAATAACTACAGAGATTTTATGATAAATATGTAGAATAATAATCTTCAGGAAGTGATAATTAGGACAAGCAGCTACCAAAATAAAACAAATCTGAATAGTTAAATACAGTTCAGTATAAAGTAGCCTATTGATTTATTCAGTCTGCCTTCAAAAATAAAAATAATAACACAGTCTATGTAATTTATGGTTGTCCTATGACACTAACAACAGGTTGCTCTCCTCCCCTTTGACTCTGGTGTTTTCTAGAAGTGTACATCCAGGCCATCTTGCGACAGTCACATCTATAAGGACATTCATTCCCAGCCTGCGATGCCTATCCAACCGGAAGCGCGGATTGATTTCTCCATGGCAAGGGCGGCTAAAAAAAATCAAAGGAGCGCTTATTAAATGATAATCCAGTCAACCCCCGGACGGGATTGCACAAAAGGAACGACGCATTTGAGTCTCAAATTGACAGGCCATCCGCTTAAATAAAGGATTATTCTTTTGGATATGGGATCTACCTTCAGGGTCCCCACCTGCTGGGCACCGTAATGGTGGTGAGTATCCACATCTTTGGAGGAGAGTCTCTCAGGCGCACTGATGTGACAGCTCACACTTACTGATAAATAACCGCGCTTTGGTTTCATTTCCCTCTAGAGAAAATAGTTGTCATGTGTCTTGTGTGAATTGGATCAATACAAACAGCGTGTGGTGATTTTAAAACCGTTTATATGATATTATTCCGCTATTTGCGCGCGTGACGCTCCCTGCAGCCACCGTGTATCAGAAAGGTGCTATTTAATAAGCTTTTCCCTTTTAAAATGTCATTTTAATTACGCATAATGTTAGTCTCCATTTAATTGGCTTATTATAAAGCAGTTATGGACCATCTGCGCGTAAAGGACACACTCTCCTTCATTTCCAAATGGACGAAATGAACGAAAATAACCTCCACGTCGTGACAAACAATATGAGCTTCAAATATAAGCACCCCCCGATGTGCTGGGAGGGAATAAAGGCCCATTTGGTGTAAAAATGTGTCCTAATCATACCATGTGACGCGACAAGAGCCGATATTTGCATATGTTTCATATATAAAACAGGGAGAGAGGTGACAGAAAAGGTCTGTTTCTATTTTTGGGAAGCCAGGATTGAGTACAAGCATTAGACACATCTGGCAAGGACACGCCCAGACTCATTCAGACCCATTGAGTGTTTCATGGTGGGACTTCTTGTACCTTTTACGTCAGCGAGCCCAAATACACTTATAGTTTTACATATATCACATTGATAAGACCCGGGAACGTGAGCACTTGAGTTACTGCTTCAGTATTCAGTAGTGGAAGGGACTGCTCGTTACTAATGAGGGGAGGAGGTGGTGTAAAAAGGGGGAGGCATGTATATTTTTGATTTAACCCATATTTAACCAGGGAAGACCTGACCAAGACAGCAGAACGCAAAAAGTTGCAGCCAAACAACTACACAATAAAAAACATAAACATATACAGTAACACATAGAAATAGCACCTACGCGCAATGACAAGACCCAGCCGACTCATTCATCCTTGTAGGTAGAGAGCTTTCAGATCAGGCAGAGAGACCAATTTACGTAGTTTCAAATCTTTAGGTGATTCCAGGTGAGAGGAGTTGAGCACATAAAAGCTTTCTTTCCCAGCTCAGTGTGAGCACTAAGAACAGACAACAAAATTAAGTCTTGACATCTTTTGTATTTATTTTAGCACCATTTTTAAAAAGAAAATATGCATGTTTACTTTAAAAATCACCAAAATCACTGTTTATTATAGCCAGAAACTGTAAAAATAGAAATTATTGTTAGATTTTTAAAATTTCCGACAGTCGTTGAACACATTATGTGGGACAAACGCTTCAGTCAGAAAGAAAACCATCACCAAATCTGAGCTTAGAATAATGACATTTCATCAAAATCACTGTGTCATTTAAAAGTTTGCCAAAAATAAACCCTTTGCTTAAACTAACCAGCAGTGAAAACCAAGGCTTTTCCCCCCAGATTTGTTTACTGAGATTTTCCAAATAGAGCCATAGAAAGCACAATAATATTTGTCAATCCAATAAGGAAACAACAAAAACGTAAGTCGTAAGTAAAAAAAGAACAATACAAAAGGGCTAAAACAAGACAAATATTACAAACCAAATCAGTACTCAGAACAAGACAAAGAACAAAACAATGTAGGAGTAAAATCAAAATATAAAAATATTCATTCATTCATTTCTGTAACCGCTTTTCTGATTGAGGGTCAGCCCAGCTGACATAGGGCAAGAGGTGGGGTACACCCTGGACAGGTCACCAGGCTATCACAGGGCAGACACATAGAGACAGACAACACCTACGGACATTTTAGAGTCACCAATTAACCTGCATGTCTTTGGACTGTGAGAGGAAGCTGGAGTACCCAGAGAAAACCCACGCTGACACAGGGAGAACATGCAAACTGGGATCAAACCAGGAACCCTCTTGCTGTGAGGTGACAGTGATAAAAAAAAATCACACTAAATACTAAAACATATAGTCATGGTCGTTGGTCGGACACTCGCCTGTCACATCACAATTTAAAAAACAGGAAAACAGGCATTAATTCAGGAATATCTGGAAATATCAGCTCTTATATGTACTCGAAAAAGGGATCGGAGGCTTTTTTTTTCAACTCTAGGATTTCAATTTTAACTTACAAACATCCATGGGTATGTTTTTAAATTGTAATAATTATAATTATGTCACTCAGGGAGGCTCAAGGAAAAATATTTATAGCTTCTGGGAGGGTTGAAAAACCAAGTCACACCTCAGCCTCTCCCCTCCTCTAATAAGTAGAGAACAGTCCCTAAAAGTAGGCGTATATGGAATATGGAGGTGAGGGGGAAACAAGTATAACACAATAGGATTTTTTTTCTGGGAGGCATTTCAGCCTCAGTTGAAGGACGCCATGTGGCCCCCGGACCTCAGTTTGGGCACCACAGGTTTCCAGGGGATGTTGATGGGTGGCTGCCGCCGCTGAAGCGACTGAGCGGCTCAACCTCAGTCGGTGTCTCACCGGTGTGTACGTGCCTTCTCTCGTTGTTTTCCGCTGCTGGGTGTCGTCGTGCTGCTGGTGGCGTATCTGTAGGGGAGGAGGAGGACATGACGGCCAACGCTAATCCGACAGGTTTTTTGGCAAACACAAAAAGAGTCGGTTTTCGGAGCCCCTGAGAAAACGAGGAGACATCATCATCATCATCATCATCATCAACATGGCGACAGCTGCTGCTGCTGCGGCCCCAGCGGCTCGCTTTGAAACCGAGACGATTAAGGTGACACCCGTCGTCTCTGTATTTCTGATTTATCATTAGCCTTAGCAGCTACTGAGCTACATACTTCCATGCTAGCCTCTATCTGGAGCTGATAAGATAATCGATACAGCAAATATAGCATTTGCTTAGCTCATTACAGGTGATAGAGGAGATGGAGACGTCCTCAAAGTGCTTTAAGGTCACGATAAACTCGATGTAGAGTCGCAAATGTGTAATTATTAATATTACACATGTTTGTGTTAATGTAGTGAAACATGTTTCAAATGTCAAATATATCAGTTCATTTTCTGAGGCATTTGTGCTCCTCTCCTATAAGCACCATGGACAGCAGTGCCCTTTTGACTCCATGTCAGCTGCAGTTGTAGTCACTCAGATGAAATGTGGGTAACTCAGGTGGATTTAGCAGAGCACAGAGCAAATGTCTACCTCAAGAACACTCCAGAGATGGTGTGTGTGTGTTGTTGTCTCACACACTCAAACAGGTTTCCACTTGGTGTTTGCTCTCTGAGGCAGCTGCTCTCGCTTTAGCACCACGGACAGTGAAACATCTGTCTGCTGAAAGAGGGCAGATACACTCAAGGGCACTTTAAAGGGTGCTTTACTGCTGTTGAGGTGTGGATGTGTTGTGATAGGTGCCTAAAAGAACAGGTTTCTAACATGCTCACATGTAGATAAAGACAGCTATGTGCTGCATGGCTCACCATACTGTCCAAAAGTGAGTCCTATACATATGTATATATATATATATATATATAATTTTTTTATATATATATAATATGACATTTACAGAAGTGCTTTCTAAAATGTGCAGTTACTTAGCTCTCAGGCTAATATTAGCTTACGTGAAGTATGTTAATAACAGCATTCACTTACTGTTGTTTGTGCAACTTCAAATGTCAAGCAAAGTTGGAAGTTGTTGGGTCCACGTTTTGCATACTGTGATTCGTTTTTTGTTGACTGCAAAGTAGTTTTTGCACATGAGCAGATTTATTTTTGGTTTCATTTTTCATTGTTCTCTTCTGCAACTTTATTGGATGCTGTTGGAGTGGCTCAAACAAAATGGATCTGGGGAATTAAGTGTCGACTTGCAAGAAATTAATACTGTTAAGTTAATTCAGGAAATGACGGGAAATTAATTTATTAGTGGCACACTTTTTAAATCACATACGTTAAGATCTTTGGGCTTGGGGGAATGTTTCAAGTAATGTCAAGTCAATCAAAGTCACAAGTCATAGGTGTTAAGATCCAGATTCAGTTTTCTTCATTGTCATTGTATAAACATACAACGAAATTCAGGTGCATTCAAGGACCGGGTAGAGTGCTGAGCCGCCGTCCAAGTCAAGTTGCAGGTCTTTGATTTTGTCAAATAGAGTGTGAAATCATTAAGTCTATGACTCAAGTCTGACTCATTTCATTTCATGTGAGTCAAGTCAACACCTTTGCTATTTGGTGCAAAGTCCCTCTTTGTGCGTCTTCGGACAGTGTAGCTTTGGTTAAAGGATAGTAACACAGAGGGAATTTGTACAAAAGAAGAGTAAAATGGACGACACATATTTAATTTGTCTAAATCAGACTGCTGAAGCCTTATGGTAGCTTGCTTTTGTACAGAACAGTGGACATTGGAATTGCATCAGGAGGTGATGCGTTCATGGTCCTTACTCATCTTACAGCAAACATAAACTTGCTTTAGAGATTTAGAGTATGATATAGACATTATTTAGAAGGTTGTAAATGTGAAAACAAGACTGAGGTAAATTATTCTCCATTTTCCAAAGGCTTTTGATCCCTTAGTCATCATGCCAATGTGCAGAAACCCTTAAAATAATCTAAGAATTTGTTTTAAGTGCTGTGTCCATGTGCAGCCCAGTCGCCAGAGCACAATGTTGGCGTTTTTATTTCTTCAAACCACAGATACCTTACTTTTATACATTGCATATATATATATCATATCAAGGTTTCTAAAGTGATGTAGTTTATGAGCTGACTTTGTTACAGGGAGGTAGAGGGGATGGTGGCTTGCATGACAGCTAGACTAGACACCTGCCAAGCTGCAGACAACTACTGAAGTACAACAAACAGTGAAACCAGTTCCTTGTTAGTGAGTCATTACTTTCTTTGCAGCTGCTTTTTAGCCACCAAAGGTGGGTGATTTTTAGCGACCTGTCACTGTGTTTCCTGCCAGGATAGTGCCACAAAAAGCAGTTGTTTTTACTGAGACATTGCTGTGTTTCCTGCCAGGATGGTGCCACAAAAAGCAGTTGTTTTTACCAAGACATAGCTGCGTTTCCTGCTATGATAGTGCCACAAACAGCGGTTGTTTTTACCAAGACATTGTTGCATTTACATGCATTTATTCTGGCAATTAGGTTGCCACATGTGAACCAGATTACCTCTGCTCTCATAGATACTGTGATTCCTTTCAGTGCCACGATACACAAGTGCAGAAATGTCAGTGGTCCCTATATGTTTTCAGTCTGTCATGTTATATTTGACTCCAGGGATGACCACGCTGAAAGCTGAGCTCAGAGGTGGGCGTGGATGTTGGGCCTACGGGCTCCATCAGGATTCGCAATCCTACCACCACCCTGCAGCTCATGCTAGACAAGCTGTCAGGCCACACATCATGACAGTGGGTCCCGGGGCAGTCGTTGGGACACAAGCAGATGTGTTTCATGAGCTTCCCCTATGGGAGAAGCTTCAATTAATTCACAGTTTAGGCCTGATGAATTCTTAGAAACAGCACATTTGCTGGCTACTGCGGCTTTTAATGAGCCTCCACTCCAGTAACAAAGGATGTTATGACTGGTTCACCGCAGTTTATAAGCCATATCACTTATCTGTTGTGTTGTTGCTTCCAATTCTGCCCTCTTATCAGGAAATGGTTTAAATGTGGGCATAGAAATACTCAGTTAATTCCTCAGTGGTAATTTCAGTTGATGTGAAGCAACAGGAGGATGTGTAAAAAAAATTAGGGATGAGTTTATATGTGCTGTGCCATTGTTAGATGTGGCATAAAGTCTAAACCTGGTTACACTCATACTTAGATCATGGCTAAGCATCACTATGATTCTGGGATGTCACTGTGCTCCAGACTTTCCCTTGAACCGCTCGCTGCTCAGGCGCGGGCTGAATGTCAAAATAGCTTAAAATTGTCTCCTGCTCTACCCCTGCATTTTAAAATGGAAAGAAGAAGAGGTTGTAGGGCAGTCTCTGTTCCTCTATTTCTATTTAGAAAAAGGGAAGAAAAGCTGACAAGTCAAGGAGACATTACTTTTGAGATTCTGCCAGAGGGGAGGTTCCTGTTTTCTTGGCCAGGACACTGTCCCACGAGGAACTAACCCCACCTTTGAGACTGATAATGGCTCACCAGGGTTTTTTGGGTATATCTTGTTTGTGTGCCTTCCCACTATTTCCTGTGGGACCACGATGGGCTTCTGAGTGTGATAGATAAATGGTTCACAACTCATTTTCTGTCTAATTTGAGACCATCCACCAATTGATTATGCGATAAAAGGACAGTGCAGCTATAAGTAGACTTAGAAAGAACAATAAATGGGGCAAAGTGAAAAGATAATGTTCACTGAGAGTCTATTTGTCATGTTTCTGTTACCCTGTGAGTCAGCTGAAGGCATGCCGCCAACGTTAGACCCCCTATTAACTGCCTCTTTAAAGCCTCCACCCTACCTATGATCTCCCACTGCGTTGATTGAAATGTTCCACCCAGCGGTCAGCGTGACACACAGCACAATATTTATTCTGCCTCAAACACTAGAAGCACATCAACGTGCCTTCAACACATTTGTCCACATGATGATTCTGACGTAAAATCTTGTCAGTGGTTATAAAACACTCTTGTGTTATGCAGTGAGGCAAACTCGTAGTTTTTACAAATGCCTGTGAAAAGAGCTTTCTTCTTTTCCAGCATCTCAAATCCATGTCTGTATGACTCCCCTAATGTCCACATGCTTGTTGTAAGTCACCTTCAGACATCCGCCACTTTATGTAAATGTTATGGCACTTCAACATGCCAGTCTAATGCATGACCAAGTACATGAGTCACTTTTATGTAAAAGTCTTGACGGCAATCTTACCAAGTCGGGCCTAGAAACAGTTGTGTAACACTTTGAATATAGCACACATGTGTTTGAATGACATCTCTTTTACAGCTTGATGAAATAGGTAAGAGTTAGTTCTCGTCCCCTCACTCTGAGCCATTCTCAGACAGAGAATATGTAGCCGTGCTGGGCTACATCTCTCCCCAGTGTGTGCTTCTCATCTATTACACTCCAGTCACAGACAGAAGCATCTGATTTTTCTGAAAGATATACCCAGAGATTGATGTAAAACCCAGAAAGTCATTTAACATCATTTACTGTACTGCTGTTGTGAAGTTATTTCCAGGATACTGACATACTCCACCAACCATCTCGATGAAGAAATATTCAGTCTGCTGCACGATAAAAAAAAAAACCTTTAACCAATTTCCCAAGTTATTACTGTAATTCCTTTTAAAGTAACCAAAAATGACATATGTTCTTCTTCTTTTGTAAAACACAAACTAGGAAGAAGACACATTCATATAAAGCAATGTAACCGATAGTAACATCTTTGATTTTGGTTCACGTTGTACAAATTGAGCACGGGGTAAGTCATTTTCAGCTGACATGTTTGTTCAGTATTTCGGTAGACCGCTGTAGCAGGCAACAAAAAACTGTGATGTAATTCCTGCAGGCAATTGAGCACCATCAATTTACGTCCATTAAAAGTCTTTGTTTTGCCACTGACAGGCTCAGATTGTTATTTTAAGTGTCTGATAACATTCTTCTTCATCAAGCTGTTTAAGTGATCTCATTTGTCCAGTTAGGGTTTCCAGTTTTCAGCGTGTTCCAGGCAGATAACCTCCACAGGTGAATTTACCAACTATTTTCAGAAGCCCGGTCATGACCGCTGATCCATTTCCCCCTCACTCCCTTCTCACTGCAGCTCCCTGCCCCAGCTGAGCCCCTCGCTGCTCTCTGAAGGAGCAGGATGACAAGATGGCACAGCTGCTTGTACCGCCCGGACCTGACAGCTTCCGCCCCTTCGTCCCCGAGTCGCTGGCCGCCATCGAGAGGCGCATCGCCGAGGAGGAGGCTCGGAGACCACGGGCGGAGCGACGCATTGACAGCGACGATGAAAATGGGCCCAAGCCCAACAGTGACCTGGAGGCGGGGAAATCTCTCCCCTTCATCTATGGGGACATCCCTCCCGGCCTGGTGTCCACCCCTCTGGAGGACTTGGATCCCTTCTACAGCAATGAGAAGGTCTGTTTCAAAGTTATTAAAAGAATCACTTCTGGTCCATCTTATGAAAGGAAAATGTTTATAACAATGTGAATGGGAACCTTGAAGACTTGTTCTTGAGTGTGCTGGCCTTGAAGCATTATGATGCATACTGATTTAACTTTCAATTAGAGTGTGACTCAAGCAGTGAATTTTGCTACATCAGGTCTGTACCTTTTTTTATCCAAGCTTCTGAGCCCCTAAAAGCTTTAAGTGAATGGCCCTGATGCTCTTGACAAACTATTTCAAGGAAACACATAAGCAGGTGTAGCAGTTTCCTCCCACATCAGACAAACCTCTGCTAAAGAAAGGTAACAGCTCAATATATCAACTTCCTGTCTTTGACTGTGGGCAGATTGGTTTTTATCCAAAGGCATAGTGCAGCTCATTATACAACATGTATTCTATAAGCATGGTCACTACCATTCACGTTTCACAGACTTAATTACTCAAGTACTGTCCTTTATTACTGGAATATGTTTGTTTGATGCTTCTTCATACTTCTACTCGGCAGCATTTCAGATATTCTAGTTTAATCCACTACATCTGACAGCTACAGTTACATTGCAGACAAGGATGATGTTTACACAAGCCATATAATCACTGTCTAAAATATGGTGCATTGTGAAAAACTGTAGGGATGCACCGAAATTAAAATTTGTGGCTGAAGTCTAAGCCAAATAAAATTAAACACTTGGCCGAATACCGAGTACCGAATACCGAATGCCATTGTTTAGTGTATCATTAGTTTTTGCAGATGAACCCCCTCCAGATTAGTGTTGTCATGGTACCAAAATTGGGACCCACGGTACGATACCAGTGAAAATATCATGGTTCTGAGTAGTATCAGGATACCACAGCAAAAATGAGGCAGATGTGCCTTTTGTCATTTATAAAAAGATAAATCACTTTTCTATAATACATCAATGATATTTCAATGGAATAAATTACTTACTGATTTATTCATACTTCAAAAACAGCATCAATAAGTGATTAACATAGGGGGGATCAAAATAAAATAAATAAATAAATAAGAATCAACCAGCCACCCTCCTCCCCTGACAAGTAAAGAACAGTCCCTTAAGTAAAGAACAGTCCGTAAAGTGCGGTGAGGTCTGTGGGCCATTACCTGCCACAAAGAGAGAAATGTGAACGGCTCGTTTCTCCTCTGAAACGCCACATACTGTGTGCCACCACGGCTCGGCTGTCCAGGTACTTTTGGGCAGTCTTGACGCCAAGAAGAGGACATTATTGGAGCCGGACTTCTCCGTCGCCAGTAAGCCTATGGCCGCCGTATTTGACAGGAATATATTCCTGTCCGTGTCTGTGACCCCCGTTAAACCCACAACTAGCGGGATTCACCTTTCGTCTGCTGCTGGTTGAAATTTGTACTCACACAGCGTACTGGATAATTTATTTTGCTCAAACAAAACTATTTTTAGTCGCAAATGCAAGTGCAGTGACAGACGGAGTAAATTATCGCCACACTGCCGACATTTTACTCCGTCCGTCACTGCACGCTGTTTGATTGTGTCATCAAAACACACCGCTATTATTCGGCCTTGCTTTTCACTTATTCCACCGAATACCGAATGTGTGTTTTTTTGCAATATTCAGCCGAATATAGTCGGTTACCGAATATTCGGTGCATCCCTAAAAAACTGTGTCTCTAAAAGTATTGAATTCAAATATGTTCTTAACAGACATTCAATTCTAGTACATTTGTAAACTGACTGCAAAAAATAAAGTTCTTAAGAGTCAAGTGTATTCATAAGATTGAGGGTTTTGCTTGCCTGGTGTCCAGACATATCTGAGAGCTGATGTTCTCATGTATCTGGTTCCCCTTCAAACAGTTTTTGTAGCCAACCTGGCCCTATCTGCCTCATTTTCAACCATTTATCTCATATGGTGCAGGTTTGATAAGATTATTGACAGAACAGGGCTCTGAGGTATTTTCCTGAACAGCCAAGATTGCAGATGTTAAATCACCTCAGTGTAAAACTAACTGGACATTATATTTCACACAGCAGCACCTAAAGGGAAACTCTGGTGATTTTCATCCAGCTCTGTGTCAATGCAACACAGGCAATGAATGCAAATGAACAACTCTCAGCCTCCTCCTGTGCAGCCTGGAGCTTTGGGCACTGGCAACATAAAGGGAAGTCAAACACTGTTCATCTGCACACATTCCTATGACACAGAGCTGTTTGAAAATTGTCAGATTTTCCCTTTAAAGCTTTTGGTGATAAGAAATGTGTTTTCCATACTTCCGACTGGATTTGGTTGTAGATCTATCCAGTTGGGTCCAGAGGTATTTTGGTCTACGCCTGTTGCCGCCTCTCTAAACAAACCAAAGCTCTTCTGGGGACCCAAATGTATAAAGAAAAACACAACTAGTTAACGAATAATCATACTCAACAGTTTAAAAGAAGCAAAGAAAAGGGTTGGAGCTCACAGTCAAACAGAACAAAAGATGGGGAAGTTGCTGAGCCAGCCATCCAGTGGGCACTCGCACCCAGCTCCTACTTAAACCACACAAAACCTGATAACTGGACTGCTGGTGATCTCCAACCCAAACTGAAATAACAAAACCCAACACTGTAAAACATACTGGGGACGAAAAAAGAAGGGGAAAGATTCCCTGAAAATCTGTGCTGCAGTCGAGCTTACATTTAAAAAGGCACACCCTGCTCCTCAGGTCCCTTTTGTTCTCTCCTGATGGCTGATTACTCTCAAGTGCTCCACTCCTGCAGAGGAAGACAGTTAGAGGGGCGCCAGGGAAATAGAGGGAGAAACAAATAACAAAAACCTACCCACAAGCAGCGCGCAATACATCACATGAAGAGCTACACCTAACAATGCCCCTTAGAAATCGAAAAAGGTTCAGAGAGGTTCTGGTAATGCCAAGCTTGGGTTTACAATAGTAAAATGCTGCTTACACATAAATGCATCGATGACAGTAATGCTATTAATTTCTCTCATTATGAGGAGTTTTACTTTTGATACTTTAGGAACATATTACTGACAACACTGCAGTTTTATTTCAACATGTCGGGAAGTACTTCAGGCCTGACTGTCCTATCACACCTCTAAACCTCTCACTGACTAACATGTTATATCTTTTTAGTCTAAGCTGTACAAAAAACAAAATGTAAACTCAAAAGTTGTGTTTTACAGGATATTTGTTGGACCATGAGACAGAATGTGTTAATTAATGAGCTTTTGTTACTTTGGATAGAGCTGGGCCTGGCTGTTCCCACCATCTTCATTTCTGATGCTAAGCTGAGCTAACAGGCTGCTGGCTCTAGCTTCATGTGTAGGGTGCAGACATCAAACATATTTTTACATAGTGGTTGTGCCACTTTTGATTAACTAAAAGATCTGACTATTTCTAGTAACGACTTTATCGTAAAATGGCTAATACTTTACTACATTAAACAGCAGGCGAGGTGCAAAACCCATTCCAACAGTAATGAGCTCAGCCAAGTCAGAGCCTTTAAAGCGCGGGCCAACAGAGGTGCTAAATGCTAATCTGGGCCACTGTGCCAGTTGATCTGCAGTGCCAACATGTCCTGCCTGAGGTGGACTCATCTAGCTCCGTTATAATAACAGCCAGCTTAGTCTGCTCTGCTCTTATGACTAATCACACATGGCATGATAAGCAGACACTGTGAGCCAGTTTACACCTGGTGTGAACATGCGCGTCTGTGATCAGAACACATGTGGACAGCCGAGACACATGGACGTTCATGTCTGTGTCCGTCATGTCTCTCCAGCTGACCACTTGTGTTCGGATTGAGTATGTGTATATGTATTAATGTCATAGTCCTTGTCGCTGACGCATCAGGGCGCCTTAGCGTTAACACTATAAAAGAAAATGGCCAAATGGCTCTCCATAACAGGCTCTATAGGACACAAGCTTAAAGACATGTAAATTTATGATATGTAATTTCAGTACGATTTTACATCTCCCCTGGGTGCTGCATCTCTCACATACACCACATGAGGTGAGCCGGGAAAAGACAAGGCTGTGTGTGAAGCGGATTTTAACACGTTTTGTTCTGTCTCTCTTTCAGACCTTCATAGTATTGAATCGCGGGAAGGCAATCTTCCGTTTCAACGCCACTCCTGCCTTGTACATCTTAAACCCCTTCAACCCTCTGAGGAGGGTAGCTATTAGAGTTTTAGTACACTCATATCCTTTAACAGTTTGCCACGGACTTGGATTAAAGGGTTTATCAGACAAAAGAGGGATTTACACGATGAAGACGACTTAATGTCATGATTGGTTTAGACTTTCTATACAGACATGAGTCATGAAGGACATTTTAGATTATGGATGACTGTAAACATGCTTTTTCATTCTTACTGTAGCCGTTATGGTTTGGGAGATGTTAGTTTGCTGTCAGGTTTGGTTGTAGTCTATCACACATAGCCTAAAGCAGTTAATGCTCAAAAACCCAGATGTTCAGTTGTGTTCCTTGACTCTGTCTCCACGATGTTCAGCATGTTGATCATGTTCACCATCCTGACCAACTGTGCTTTCATGACCCTCAGTAATCCCCCAGAATGGGCCAAGAATGTAGAGTAAGTCTGCATTTTCTCTAATTTTTGTCTGTAGAACAAGGCTTTTTGGTTTTGGTGTAGATATGACATGTCACACACACACTATAATCAGCACGACATTCACTTTCTGGAGATGTCATGATGATGTCTTTGTGGATAAACACATACAAATCTGCTCAGATGAAAGACAGTCCTTTACGTTATATTCATGTTTGAATAAAAGGTCTTTACTAGACGGCAGGGTTTGATCCACAGGTAAGCAGTCAAAAAATGCTAGTCTGAGTCTAAGAAACTGAAGAATGGTCTAATAAACACTAGGAAAACACACTGGAACGTTTACTGAAACAGGAAAGATGAACTGGCACAGACAAAAGGGAGCACACAGACTAAATACACCAGGAAGGAAGGTGATAACAAGAGACAGGAGACAGCAGGGCTGACAAGGAACAGGTGAAACACATCAGGGCGGGGCAGTCATTCAAACAGACGGGTGACACATTAGAGCAGGAAGCAAAGTAGGGTGAGTATATCAAAATAAAACAGGGAACAATAACTGAAATTAAAAGGAAAACAATCAGGACACACTGCAGCAAATATAGGAGATAATGTAATAATGTCACCTTCCCTCTGAGCAGTGGAGACGGTAACCAACATCATTGTCTTCTCCTCCTCTCTCCCCACACTTCCTCTCTTGTTCACCAGGTACACATTCACAGGGATTTACACCTTCGAGTCCCTCATAAAGATCCTGGCCAGGGGCTTCTGTGTCGGGAAGTTCACTTTCCTGAGGGACCCGTGGAACTGGCTGGATTTCAGTGTTATCCTCATGGCGTAAGTATTCTGACAAGCACAGTTAGGATCATCTTAACATGATCTGGCGTAGATTAAGAGGCCGAATGCTTTGAATGCTAATCAGCCCAGCAGCCTATTACAGTAAGTCCTGCTGAATGTGAGAAGGAGAGCAGGGAGAATGAAGAGGGGCATGATTATCTGCAGATTAGATGTGTATGTTTTGAAATCATGGCCAGAAATCTGCTCCGTCGTAATGGATGTGAGTCCCTAAAGCGTGGAGTATCCTGGCCCATATTTGTCCCACGCCTCAATGACTTCAGCTACTTGTCTTGAAGCTAGAGAATAAAGCCTTCAGCATTAGGTTACACTGTGAATGATTTTTGTGATCATGAGAAGGATTACTCATTGCTCTCATAATATAATAAAACCGTAATCTTGTTTAAGAGATTCCTGTAATTCATAATGCTGTTATGAGAGGTGGTTGTGTTTCTCAGATGTTGTGCACGTGTGATGGGTTTCTGCCTGTGTCTTGCTGTGTAGTAACTGTGCATTTGATCCTGCAGGTATATAACAGAGTTTGTAAACCTAGGCAATGTTTCAGCTCTGCGCACGTTCAGAGTATTGCGAGCTTTGAAAACAATCTCAGTAATACCAGGTAAGGCTGCCCGCGCCTGCTGCCAGCACTCCTGCCATTTGTCCTCTGTGTGTGACCATTTGCCGTTCCCTCCTCTTCCCCTCCCCTTCTTCCTTTTGTCTCGTCACGCCATGTGTGTGGGTGCCTGATTTGTGCGTGTGTGTGCGTATGTGCGTGTGTGTCCCACACCTTTCCCCGAAACGCCCCTCTACCCGACTCCCCTCCCTCCTCCTCCTCCTCCTTCCCTCCCTTCCCTTACAGATATGTCACAGAGTTTGTGGACCTGGGCAATGTCTCAGCACTGCGAACCTTCAGGGTTCTGCGAGCCTTGAAAACTATATCAGTCATCCCAGGTGAGAGAGCCATCAAGGCCCATAGGGTTAATGAAATGCTATCAGCTAACTGGCGTTTCGCTAACATCCAAGCAACCCCCCCCTCGTCCCTTCTCAGCTCATCTCACTGTAGCTAAGCCTGATGACGCCCGTCGCCGTCCCTCATGCTGCCTTCGTCCCAAGGCCCGTAAAAGCTGGAATCTGGCTCCAATCTGCACAGATTGACAGGATTCTTAGCTTTTAGACACATCCTTTAAGGCAGAATTCTTTTTGGTTGAAATTTATTCTTGCCTTGGGAGACTCACAAGTAGATTTTGTGCACTATTTGTTTTTTCCTTTTTGCATGAGACATTGCAAAAGCCGATTTTCTGGTGGCAAGCACTTGTGCGTGCAGGGCTCCTCCTTACCTTGTTTTTCCTGTGCATGTCCTGTTCAGTGTTGTGTGTTTTTGGGGGGAAATTGTGACATGGTGAGTGGTGGTTGGGTAATGGCATACTAAGCACTGACACTATTCACATCACAAACTAACAAAAAAGGTCATATGTAAACCATCCAGGAGAAATTGTCATTGGCTCTTTGTATAAACAGGATCATCCGATTCCACAGCTTACGTCAGAGTCCTGCACGGGTCCAGTTTTCAAGATCCACCCCGACCCGACCCGGGGACCCGCGCATCAGGCCAATTAGTACCGCAACCCGGTCCGACCCGTTGAAACACAACCCGCAGCCCGACCCGTAACCCGGATTTAAAGTAATCATTTTGGGTCATATTGGCTGAATATTGAACAGCATATCGCCACAGTTAAGGTGCCAGTGAGTAAACAACGACCTGAATGAAGCAGCTCTCACAATAAAAACCTGACTTCAGCTCCATCATCAACCCTCTGTGTTCTTCTCCCATATGAGTGTAAAAGCACTCGTTTGTTACGTTTAATGCTTTTAAACTTTTAATCTATGTAAAGGAACTTTACATGTGTAATAATAGACTTACTTTCTGTCCAGAGCGAATCCATCGAGGAGAGAAGTAATCCATCAGGGAAACACTTCAGAAACATTATAAAGTGATAGTTGTACGTTTTATCCACTTATTTCTCAAATACCTGAATAATTATTTACTGTTTTGGAAGTGGCGCTTGTTAGACAGTGGCAGCCATGTTGATTCTGTCGTCCAATCACAAATTGTGTTATTAGATGGTGAAACGCGTGTAAACAGCTGAACCAATGACCGTTGCGAAATAGCGGAGGCGATCCTCAGAGAGTAAATAATGACCAAGATAGTTATCTGTAGTTTACCGAACTAATGACTGATGTGTTTATCTAAAACCTGCGATCCGACCCGCATGTTATTTTTTCCACCCAGATCCGAACCCGGGAAAATTTTTTTTTTAAAAAACCACCCGCAAATCAGCTGTTTTGTGGGTACCTGTGACCAGTGCAGGACTCTGGCTTACATTACATATTCTAGCTGCCACGACCACATTTGGACCCAGTTCAAACATTTTGGGCCCTATTTATGTGGCAGTGCAAAGCCAAGCACATGTTGGTGTTTCCTTGACCCTTAAATACATTCTGCTTGTCCTTTAATATTTATATGCAGAGCACCGTGCACGTGGCACAGAGGTGGGAGAAGAGATGCAACCATAGACAGACTGTGTTTGCAGCGCTTTGGCTTTAAATAAATGCAAGTAATCAGAGGGACTGGAGGTTTTTCTAGATAAAAAGCAATATAATGCTTATATTTCTGAACTGAGAACATTTCCAGTTAATCAGAATTTCAATAGTTTGGCTATAATCACTGCTGTAAAAAATTAACGTTTGTCAAGCATAGATTTGTCTTATAATCCTTGTTTAGTTATTGTGGAGATGTCCCTTTACGTAATTTAATGTCGAAACAGACAACTTTTTCAAAGAGTGCTAGCCAGCTAAAGCTGCCATGACTCGATCACAACAGATTATTGTAACTTTCGCCACTGCTCATTTTAGAAAGGCCACCCCAAAAAGTTTAGATTATCAAAAGGACAGTGGATTGTAGATGTTTGTTTCTGGCTGCCAACCACTTCCAACATTAACGAGCTGTTATTTTCCCAGGATCATACCTGGGTGCAGATGGAAACTAATCAAAATTCACATTACATAAAGACCATGTTTTCTTGCAGTGGCCTGTCTAAAATGAGAAGTGGTGGAAGGTACTATATTCTGTTAAAGGAGTTGATGATAAGTACACAGTGTTAGTTAGCTATTTTTTTCTTCTACACATAGATCATAAACCCTTGAACATTATAGTGACTTATTGCAACCAATTGAGAAACACTATAATACTTTTATCCAGAAAAACAAAGCTTACCACTTGCATCTGTTTACAGACAAGTCTTGCACTCTCCAGTACATCTATGGGTGCAACAAGCTTGAGTGGTGTTTGGTGAAGAATGGGTTTTAAAAGTTGAGAATAGTCATCTGAAGACCAGGTGTAGTTTGACATTTTGGGAAAAAGGCCAACTGGATTTATTGATTTAATACCACTCCTGCATGCTAAGTATAAAGCTAGAGCCAGGCACTGATTAGCTTAGCTTAGCATAGAGACTGGAAGCAGATGGGAACTGCTAGCCTGGCCCTGTCCAAAGTTAAAAAATACATCCTTTCACACGCATAAAGCTCAATCATAAAGACACTGTATCTCATATGTTTTATCTGTCCAAAAGCCACATCATAAAGACTGAAGGTTGTGGTATTGTAAGGAGTTATGCTCTAGAGCTTTTTAGGCACAAGACTAGTGATGTGAATGGCTGAGAGGATATTTACCACTTCACTCAATCCCCCTGTGCATAGCGCTGTGCCTTTATGGATTAAAACAACCTCACTGACCTTGTGCTTGGCGACTGCACTAAAAAGAGCTCAGTTTAATGTTTTTGTGGCAATCCAACCAGGAGTACACATTTATAGAACATTATATCAAATATTTATTAATGATTATTTCCCCAGAGCCCAATACCATAGCACTATAATGGGCTAACATTCTCTAGTGGTTCATCCATGATTAGCAGAGATCTGTGTCAGCCTGGTTCCTGTATGACAGCACAGAGTTCATACAGGAACCTCCACTGCAGATCCCCCTGGCTGCTTGCTGCTGTGAGCTCTTATTAGCAGCTTCTTCTCTATACAAGCTTGTGGCTGTAATTAGCAGGCAGTAATCATCCTGCAATGTCCCCCTCCCACCCCCTTTGCCCTCTCTCCCATCTAGGCCTGAAGACCATCGTTGGTGCACTGATCCAGTCGGTAAAAAAGCTGTCGGACGTCATGATCCTCACCGTGTTCTGCCTCAGTGTCTTCGCCCTCATCGGCCTGCAGCTCTTCATGGGCAACCTGAGGCAGAAGTGCGTGCGTGTGCCAGTCGCCATCAACGCCAGCAGCAATACCAACATCACCGCTGATGACACAATGCTTTTCAACAACAGCCTGCTGGAGTTTAACACCACGGTTGTGCAGAACACGACCGAGGACTCCTTCAACTGGACAGAGTACATCAGTGATGAGCGTAAGTGATGTGAAAGTGCTGCTACATGTCTGCCAGGAGCACATAGGGGTTAACAGGGGTCAAGATAGTGTCTGTCCCAGATGGCCTGAATCAGATACTGGCTACTTTGTACGCAGAAATGGGTCAGGATGGTATGGTGGTGGTTGTGTAGGGGAGGTCAGGCGGCCTGGCCTGCTGCCGTGATCAGGAGTGACAGCAGTGGCTGGGAGCAGGGGCTGCGCTCTCTAACAAGGGCTGGTGGGAGAACGCAGCAAATGTGGCGGATAATCGCCACAACAATAAAACCCTCTACTTTCACCCCCTCACTACCCTTCATCATTCTCCCATAGCCCATCTGTGTGGCATGAGCCGCCTAAAGTGCTAGAGGAGGGTGAGTCACTGACCGCCAGCAGGATATCGAGGAGACGTGCACCAGCTACATGACAAGCTGATGCCGGAGCAAGAGGAGAAGACAAAGAGACAGACAGAGCTGATTAAAAATGCAAAGATGTTATAAAGCCTGGCACCATTATTGCATCAATGATGTTGGTCCCTAAAAATCTGATGTGATTTTGTGACAGTTATTTGGTAGATGAGGACAAGACTGCACCCAGAGTTACATGATGCACACACACACAAACACACAAGGATGACTAATGGGGTTGGGTGGTTAAACAGACAAATCACCACCTTCCTCTCTGTCTCTCAGCCAATGTACAATATCACACCACACACAGAAAGTGAAGGGAGCCCCACAGGGTGCATATTGTCTCTCTGTACCCACATCGATCTGTTCTGTATTCTCAAATGCGCTGCTTCACTCCTGTGACGTGGTCCTGACCGACTGTCCCTCTGTCCCCCCTCTCCTCTAGGTAATTACTATTTCCTTCCTGGCCGTAGGGATGCTCTGCTCTGTGGGAACGGCAGTGGCGCTGGGTAAGGCTCGACATGTTTTATTTATATGGCCAATTAGATGCACCACAAAGCTGAGCATACACAATTAGTGTCGACACTCGCCACCGCGCTGAGGCATTACAGGAATCTTAACCGCTGGTTAACTAGGGGTGCATTTCATTTAATGTGTTGTGGCAAATGTTAAAACTTCTTCCTTTATGCTTTATGTTAATATTGAAGCGTTTATCAAAGAGTCACTCCAAGAAGACACACAGACAGTTGCAGTTCCAAGATTTGTGACTGAAAGGAGGGTAACCCTGCAGAACATACTCTCGTATACAGTGTACGGTCCAGGGTCACGCCCAGACTGTTCGGCCTTATGAAGCATATTTAGATGAAAGCAAAATGTCCACAAGCATCTAAAGCAACTCCAGTTGCTGGTGACTTACTGCACCTCTGGATATACCCTGACATGGATGGCTAAGAATCTTTACAGACACATGTCAAGAAAGATTGCACTCAATATCATGCAAACCACTTTGGCTCCTTAGAAGCTTTTAGACCACTGTTGAAGGGAGGCAATACGTCTTTAAGTGCAGGTATTTAATTTGATCAGATATATAAGTGTTGGTCTCCAACTTTGTTTGAGAGGTGAAGTCTGATTCAACAGGAAGTGTCATGTATAGCACATCTTACTGATATTATAAATCCTTAGAATGCTCTATCGTCAGTCTTACTTTCAGGGTGCTTTCAGGCCTGGAGTTGTCTTGCTTTGGTCCGAATCAGGAACTTATTTCATTAGAAAGTTGCATAATTGCCCAGAGTTGGTTCGTGTTGCAGCATTTACAAGCTCAGATCGAGGTCAGAACACGTTCTCACCACAAACAAACCGCACCAGAGTTCGTTTGTAACCAGACCGAGACCACCTCTTCAAGAAGGTCTCAGTCCACTTGTTATGGTGCGCACCCAACTGCGACTTCTGTGTTCACACCTGCCCAAACAAAGGGGGCAAATGAACTTGAGTTTGTTTGAACCAAACCAAACAGGGCAGGTTTGAAAACACCCTTAATGCTTTATACATTTGGATTAATTAAGCTTTCATGTACACCATGTTGCTCTTACAAAATTGCTACGTGATCATTAAGTTATATCAGGATTCCCACGGATCCTTAAGGAAGTCTTAAAAGCAATTGAATTCATTCATCTAAAGATAAGACCTTAGTTGGTATCAAGCCTGTATAGCTGAGAGCTTTGCAGTGGCCTGAGTTCCCCTTGCCTTTTGCTGCGTGTCTGTTGGAAAAAACACAAGTGAAGAGGTGCATTTGGCTGCGTTAAGGTCGTGCATACAAATTTAATGGTAATTAAACTGATAATTATCTGTTAAAATTCTACACATCACACCTGTGATGCAAAGTATTGTCCATAACACCTGTGTGTCTCTACAGGCTCTGTCCAGAGGGCTTCACGTGTATCAAAGCTGGTCGCAATCCAGACTACGACTACACCAGCTTTGACACCTTCAGCTGGGCATTCCTCTCCCTGTTCCGACTCATGACCCAGGACTACTGGGAAAACCTCTACCAGCAGGTCGGTTGAACTCATGGCTGAGCATTATAGAGTGTGGCTGTTGATGGTTAACGCATCATATCTTAACGTACATCTGTTTTATTAGAGCATTTACATGCTCAACAACAAAAGCATGAACAATAAAAGCCTGGCCTTCAGTCAGTAAATATTTAAGCAAACATTCAGTGAGTTTAATGAGTGTTTTTTCACCAGGGTGTGTCATTGTGCAATTATAGACTAGGCCTGTTATGTAAGGCTGTTTTGTGTTTTGTTTTGTGCTGCAGCAGCACAGTGCGGCAACTTGACATTTTCAAAGTCACCAAACAATCAGATGACCACAACTGAACAAAGAAGAATCCATCTATGGCATCTTTCTTTGACTCGCATACATAGGTTGATTGTTTTAATGATATGTCTGTTTTTCTTGGATCCATCAGACTTTGCGCGCGGCAGGAAAACCCTACATGATCTTCTTCGTGCTGGTGATCTTCCTGGGCTCCTTTTACCTGGTCAACCTGATCCTGGCCGTGGTGGCCATGGCGTACGATGAGCAGAACCAGGCGACCATCGAGGAGGCCCAGCAGAAGGAGGAGGAGTTCCAGGCCATGCTGGAGCAGCTGAAGAGGCAACAGGAGGAGGCACAGGCAGGACATTCATCTTTGTCTGTTCAAACTCAAGTTAGAACTACAACGCAAGCTACCGGTCGCTCTCCATTTCATTAGAGTGATTATCGCAGAAATTTCATTTGAAACCGATTTGTTGGAAAGCAAAAGCATTTATTGAGAAGTCAATTAGGAAAATGATGTTTTTAAACTGCTTAAGTGCCAATTTGGAGCATAGCTGAGTGGCTGGGAGTAACTGGAGAGACTCTGTTGATTCTTGGGCTTAAAGTCTTGTGCCAGCTGCCAAACTAGTGTTGCCCTGAGCAATGGAGGGATTCACTGTCCTGAGTGACTGACACCCCTCTGCCGCTCCCTCAGGGGTCAGGAGTCCTTGGTCGACCTACAGAGAGGAAAATTAGCAGATGGACATTGAGTGCAAGTGAATTGCTGGATAATGGAAATAGGAACAACCGGTTATTTTGAAGCTTGTGATGACAAAGCCAGACAGTCTATTTCGGTCCTGCTGCGTATGCAACATGATGAATGTTCATGGTACCAGACTGCATCTGGGAAATTTACTGTTGGAAAATGGAAATGTACAATTTTGAAGCAGATAGGTTGAGTAACATATGTCCTAGAGGGCACTGAGCCTCTGAATGATTGGTGATATACAGCAGTGATTCCCAACCAGGGATGTCTGCATTTCATATTACAATACTACACATTTCGTCTCATTTTCATTAGTGGAAGGTCAGGTACATTGTCTTCTATCTTGCTGCCTTGCTTAATGTTTCGTTTCAGACCTAATCCCCCCCTTTTGCTCAATCTTTCAAAGGCTATTCTGCTCGACTCAACGCTGTCTTATCAGGCGCGTGCATATTCAGATTGTTGGTGCTGTTGCCATGACAGTCTCTTAAATCCTGGTATTTAAGTGCTGTGTGTTTTGTGAGACTGGGAGAAATTCTCTCTATGAGAGCAAAGATAAAAGGTGGAAAAGAGGAAGTATAAACATCTAAATTAAGTGACATGCTGTATTCTTTGATTGCTTAATTATTGGATATACCGTCTCTGATATTTTTGGCCGTGCTGTAACTGTATGGAAATGTTTTACCCACTCACATCCCCCAGCCTCGCCTCTAAAAAGCATTTCATGACGATAAAGCCTAATATGAAACAGTATGTCTGCTCATGCACATGGTAGTAAATCATATTCCTTAAGGGAGGATGTAAGAAATTCTGTGCCTCTGATGTTTTTCTAAGCAGTGATTTGATTAATGCTGCTTGGCTTCTAAGAGTAGGATCCCCCATTTGTTGATAAATCAAAGCGGCTGTTACCTAACCCAGCATCAACACAACTCTTTCTCGTCGAGTATTACAAATGTAAGAATTCAGAAGTGTTTTGGTTTGCATGACAACATTCAGGCGTCCATTTTTAGAAGGTGTCTGAGGCTTGTTTGGCTCTTCATGCTGCTGCCGCTGCTCCTGCTCTCAGCTGCCAGGCTCTCTCCTCCGCTCCGGTCCGCGAGAGCCTCTGAGACAGGCGCTGGGTCGCCATGACAACTGTGTTTGTGCTCTGATTGGCTGGCAGGTTGCCGCGGCAGCAGCCATGGAGAGCGGCGAGTACAGCGGGAGAGGGGGCCCCACCTCTGAGTCCTCCTCGGGGACGTCTAAGCTCAGCTCGAAAAGTGCCAAGGAGCGACGCAACAGGCGGAAGAAGAGGAAGCAGAGGGAGGAGGAGGAGGAGAGGGGGGTGCGCGACAAGTTCCACAAGTCTGAGTCTGAGGACAGCATCAAGAGGACCAGCTTCCGCTTCTCCATTGATGCCAACAGACTTTCTTATGAGAAAAGATGCTCCTCACCCAACCAGGTAAATATTGTCCTGACAAACAGGATTTGTCAGTGAGTTTTACCTGACTTTTGGCAGCTAAAATTAGAATGATATCTATCTTTTACAACATTTCACACATGTCACACCATGCCATTAAATAAAGCTACTTTAGACTAAACAAACATGTAAAACCAGGGATGAATTTTAACTTTATTTGAACCCTGTACATTTCTATTGATTCCATTTTGTCAATGAAAGCAATAGTTAAGCATTGGGAGTCCAGGAAATACTCGTATTCATTACCCACCCTCTGACTCCAGTTTCCCTTTCTTTTTCTATCAGTCTCTCCTCAGTATCCGTGGATCCCTCTTCTCACCACGCAGGAACAGCCGCGCCAGCCTGTTCAGCTTCCGTGGCCGGGCACGCGACATGGGCTCCGAGAACGACTTCGCCGATGACGAGCACAGCACCTTCGAGGAGAGCGACAGCCGTCGGGGTTCCCTGTTCTTGCCACGCCGTCTGGAGCGCCGCTGCAGTGCTGTCAGCCAGACCAGCCTCGGGGCGCCCCGGATCATGCTGCCTGCCAATGGGAAGATGCACTGCACCGTGGACTGCAACGGTGTAGTGTCGCTGGTCGGTGGAACTTCTGTAACAACCTCCCCTGTAGGTCTTCTGCTGCCTGAGGTGACTGTTTGTTTTGTGCTTTATTTTCCCATTGACCTGCATGCGGTTCCTTTTATTCCCATCCTTTTGTTCTGATGTTGGTGATGAGTGAAATGTCATCAAACGCTTGAGAAGCAACTCCCAAGAATCAAATCCTTGTTTTGGTGCATTTTTCAAACCAAAAGGTCTCCATTCTATATATTTTTTTATTGTCAACGAATCTCATAAAAAGGCCAAAATGAAAAGTTCTTGAATCAAAAGTTATTTCATCAGCACTTTCCCAGCTCCCTACCCCATCTGCTGTCCTCAGCCCCAAGCCCACTGGTTCCTACTGAAGTCTTAAATCTTTTATAGCAGGTCACAGATACATATTTTCACTTTGTATTAGCTGTTGGAACAGCAAGCATGAACATTTTACACACAGTACTTGTCAGTAGGGTACATTCATTGTTGGTAAGGCTGTGCAAGAGAACAAATATCAGGAAAATCCCCAGACTCATCCTTTAAAGGGGTCTTTCCTATGTTCCAAGGGTTCTGGGAAGGGAAACATGACAAAGGGTCCTATGCTCCCTAGCTCTGTATTTGCTTCGTATGACATGGGTTAGATTAGGTAAGGTTAGAGAGTGATGTAATAGTATAGTCACAGATCTGTCTAAATATAGTTGCTCCTTCTGTCAATTAATTGCCATCCAAGAAATTATAAAGCAATGATAAGAATGAATTAATTGAAAAAATAAAAACTAACCAATTAAGGAAGGAAACGGGCTAAGTGAGGATGAGAAAAGAGGTTTGGGGCCAGGTTTTTCCCATTTCTAAACAGTTCAAGGTCAGGAAAGAGGTCTAATGCCATCTCCAAACAGGTTAAAGTTAGGAAGAAACTCACACTTGCAGAGTTGTCAGTTTTAATCTTACATTTTTATCTACTTATGGCTCTTCATCAGATATGTCTTATATTTTGATTTGCAGAGTAAACCAGAGCTGTTGTAGGGACAGAGAGTGACAAAAGAGTGCCATGAACACAGTAAGAGGACTGATGGAAACATAGGACCCTAGGAACATTGATACACTTCCATTTTAAAGAACATTCACATCCTCACGGGTGTTTTCACTGACTATAACTCCACTCAGGTTGAAGTAAGATCTAACCTCTTCAAAAGAGTTCAACACTTGTTTGACTTGTGTTCTATACACACCTCCCTTTCTGCAAAAAATCGCTCAGATATCTTGATTTATTATATTTGTTTTATTTCATTTATTTTCCAGGGGACGACCACAGACACTGAGCTGAAGAAACGCCGGTCGGGTTTTCATCAGCCGTCCATGGATTATTTAGATGAGCCTGGAGGCAGGCAGAGAGCCATGAGTGTGGCCAGTATCCTCACTAACACCATGGAAGGTCAGGATCAGGCAATATATTTTTGGTCTTTCTCGTCTTGTTTTCTTCCTGGAGAACCAGCATCAATTGAGATGTATGTTGTTATCATAAAGCGTGGTCCTTTCTCCTTTTCCAGAGCTTGAAGAGTCGAGACAGAAATGCCCCCCCTGCTGGTACAGATTTGCCAACACCTGTCTGATCTGGGATTGTTGCCCCCAATGGCTGAAAATCAAGGAGGTCATCAGCTTGGTGGTTATGGACCCATTCGTGGATCTGGCCATCACAATCTGCATCGTCCTCAACACTCTCTTCATGGCCATGGAGCATTACCCCATGACTAAAGAGTTTGATAACGTCCTCTCAGTTGGAAACCTGGCAAGTATTGATATGCTTACAAACTCTGAAAGCACAAAACCAGATGAACATAGATGCAAGATATCTCTCATGATGCAGACTCAGGTGTAAAATTAGAATTCTGCATCTTTGTTGTCAGGTGTTCACGGGCATCTTCACAGCAGAGATGTGCTTCAAGATCATCGCTCTGGATCCCTACTACTACTTCCAGGAGGGTTGGAACATCTTTGACGGCATCATCGTCAGTCTCAGTCTCATGGAGCTTGGCTTGGCCAACGTAGAAGGCCTGTCTGTGCTCAGGTCTTTCAGATTGGTAAGAGCACTGGTTGCTGATCTTACTACAAAAGCTGCATTACATGATTCATGTTATCTTAGATGATGATGCCCTGATGGACCTGTGCTCCTAGGGTCAGGCCACAATGGCGCTCTCAATAACACTCATGTTATTAATGATGTAATGAGAGCTTTTGTGCAGAGCATGAAAAGCCCCACTGAGAGTTGGCTTGGCCTTTGGGGCACAGCGTGTTTTTTCTGCTCACCTGATGAGCTTTCTGTGATTGTTGATGTGCTGCTACACTCTGTGAGGGCACAGTCAGTATTCTATTACACACTGAGATAGGAAATAAACACACATATACAAGCTGATAAACAATACCACAGCAGAGGTCAACCGAGAAGGCAGATTTAATAAAGATAGTTTGGTACAGGAAAATGCCGCCAGCTGATTAATTGGCAGATATCATCCCTACACCCCACCCACTGAGGAAAAATTTGGCAGTGTCGGAAATAAACAGTCTTTTACTTTATTAAAAACTGGATTACCGTTGAACTGAGCTTCTAAGTCCAAGCAATAAATACCTAAATTGATCAGTTAAATAAATCTGGATCACTGAAAATCAAACTCAAAGCGATAAATACCTAAATAAATTTAGATATCTGGAGCATAGACTGTAAAAATAAAGGACGTAGCCACCAGTAAATCACCCATTGGTTTGTGGACTCCCATTTTGAAGCCTCGAGTTCGGCATTTCAGCCGATGCCATCCTGTTGTTGTTGGGTTTGTTTTTTTTTGTTTTTTTTTTTTGGACAAGAGACTGAAGCTGTGGAGAAGTGAGGGGTGAATGTAATTGAGACGCAGCTAATAATTTTCCTCAAAGTCAACCTGACATTCTCAGGAGCACAATGATGTCACCTTGAATCTGTGTATGAAAAACTGCAGTACCTTGGTGTATTTTGTAATTGGGGCTGAAAAATTTCAATGTAATTTGTAACAAGATACTTAAGAGTGGAGTCATTTTGTGTTTTCAGAATACTCAAATGTGTCAGCATGTGCCAGCATTCAGTCAATCACAGACTCACAGACTGTCATTCTGGCACTGTAGTGCTAGACCTGCTGTTGCAGTCAAGCCAAAAAATGAATGTAAATACAACATAAAATCAGGAACAATACACTTAGACACAGTCACACAACAGAAGGGAGCTGCTTTCTCTGGAGCCTTTATCCACTGATCATTTAACTCACCCCTCCCTTCCAGCTTTGGTTGGTGATGTATATCCCCGAGTGAATGGTGGAGACACTATCAGAGCCAAGTTCTGCTGATAACGATAGTTTTAAAAACGTCCTGTCACTGCCGATTAATAGGCAAAACTGATAACTCGATCAACCTCTATACCACAGCGTCGGAATCTTTCGGTCTGGTGATAAAGCAATACTTTGACATTGTGGGAATATGCTTATAAGCTTTTTTGCTGAGAGTTCGATGAGACTGATCACCACTCTTTACTTGTGCAATATTCAAATAAAATTTAATTATACCTAGTTAAAGTTTATTCATCTGTTGAATGTTAATCATCAAGCAAAAATACAGAAAATCACACAGTGCTTTTAATGTTGGTTTAAAACAGCTGAGGGTCTTCAAACTGGCCAAGTCATGGCCCACTTTGAACATGCTGATCAAGATCATCGGTAACTCAGTGGGAGCTCTGGGGAACCTGACTCTGGTGCTGGCCATCATCGTCTTCATCTTTGCCGTCGTGGGCATGCAGCTGTTCGGCAAGAGCTACAAGGAGTGTGTGTGTAAGATCTCTGAAGACTGCGAGCTGCCCCGCTGGCACATGCATGACTTCTTCCACTCCTTCCTCATTGTGTTCCGGGTGCTGTGCGGAGAGTGGATTGAGACCATGTGGGACTGCATGGAGGTGGCTGGACAGACCATGTGCCTGATCGTCTTCATGATGGTTATGGTCATTGGAAACCTGGTGGTATGGGTTCTTCCTCTTTATGTCCTTTCTATAGTCCGGATAACACTGTTAAGATCATGGCAATAGCTTTAACTGAGCTTGAAGTTTTTGGATTTGTTAGAAAGTCAAGTCGCTCTGTGTACATGCAACAAAATCATGCAGAATTCATTTTCCTGCCTCATGTCTGTTCTCCCCAGGTTCTAAACCTGTTCCTGGCTCTCCTCCTGAGCTCATTCAGCGCCGACAACCTGGCAGCAACCGATGACGACAGTGAGATGAACAACCTGCAGATTGCAGTGGGCCGGATCCAGCGAGGCATCGCGTTCGTCAAATCCACAGTGCGGCAGTTCCTCCAGAGCCTCTGCTTTGGCGGGGGCGGGAAGGGCTCCGCTCTGGCTGAGGAGAGCAAACCCTTGGATGAACTGCACAGCAATGGCAAGGGCAACTGCATCTCCAACCACACAGTGGAGATCACCAAAGACCCCAGTGGGGTGTACATGACGGAGGGCAATGGACGGCCAGGTGGAGGGCTGGTAGTTGGGGTCGGGGTTGGTGGGGACACTACTGAGAAGTACCCAATGGAGGAATGCGACTACATGTCATTTATTCACAACCCCAGCTTGACAGTCACGGTGCCCATCGCTGTGGGTGAGTCGGACTTCGAGAACTTAAACACAGAAGATTTCAGCAGCGACTCGTCAGATGTAGAGGGAAGCAAAGAGGTAAGAAGAAAGACTGATTGTATGACTGACATTTCTTGAGTGACACAGCTTTTGTGTTTGATTAGCTCCTCTATATGTGTAATAGTTAACACCCGAGCCAGACGATGAATGAGTGTCAAGTTTGCATAGAGATAGCCTTTTCAGAAAAATGTCCAACAGTCAAGCAGTTTGAAAATAACACACCTGCTGACTCATTTGTACATGCATCCTGCTGAGGGAATCTTCTGGAGTTTACACTCAGTTCTGAAGCCCTTGGCAGTGGAAGAAAGACTCACAAATAATGACTCAAATGTGCCTTTGACCTATGTAGCAGGTGCACTTTTAGATGCACTCATTAGAATGTATGTGTCAGTGTGTTTGTGTACAGTGTTACATGGTTGACCTGCAAGCAAATGCAGTTCAGTGTGATACACACCTGCTTAAGAGACTGCTAAAGTCACGTTCCAACATGTACAGTACAGTATATGTGTGCATGTGTTAAAATGAAATTAATGAAGCAGCAAACTGCAATTTAAACAAAACCAAATACTTCCCTACTGGCACATATTTGTGGTAGTGTCACTTTTTTGTAATTCATTGCCTGTTTTAGAAGAGCAAAAGCCAGGTTTCGCTGTTAAGTGTTGCCAGGCTGACAGAGCATTGGGACTGTGCTCCCTGATGATGTCAGCCTGCCACGGTGGGTGTGGTGCCAATTCCCTGTGATTCAAAAACAACCCAGGAGGCTATTTCTAGCTATGGCACCACATGCTCCATATCTGGATCAGACTATGCTCTCTCACGTCACTGCTGATCCTGACACCCTGTAGCCAGGGGCCGGGGAAATGTTAGTAACACCAGTTGAAAGACATTTGGACATTTTGTACCTATTGTGTCATAGAGTTCAACTCAAAAAACAGTCAAATCAGAGACAGGCGGTATAAACGTATGCATTTAGCGTTACACAATGAACATTTGGTGTGTCTGTTCTGTGAGATGACTATTAAGTGTCGTTGCTAGTGTAACAAAAAATATATCACAGGAATACTTCACCCCCAAATGAGCGTTTGTGTATAAATTACTCACCCTGTCCTATGTTGAATTTGTGAAGAAAACTTTGTCCGCGGGTCTGCATTTAACAACTGCAAAACATCCCTTTACAAACTCTTTACAAACACAACTTGTGTAGAGTAATCCAAGTCTCATTTGTCCAGATGTTCGCTCAGTACTTCCCAAACACCCCACAGGGAATTGAACTAAAAGTTAAACTAACCTATGCTCTCTTTAAAGCCAGACTTCATTGAGAAAAACAGTAATTTTACCTCACTGAACACTGGAGCTGCCGCTGCCTCAATCAGTGTGTTTGCATGATTGTGTGACTTTGGTGATTTAAAGGGGTTGGTTCTGATTCACCAAACCTCACAATTATACAAACTAACTATAAATTGAGGCAGTGGTATGCCGGCTGCTCTTGTGTTCAGCGAGGTAAAATGACTGTTTTTGTCAATGGAGTCTGACTTTGGGGAATGGCAGACAAGTCTGCCTTACAAGTCAGTGCCCTGTTGGAAAGGACTGTCTGTTGGGGAAGTACAGAGCATATGACTGGATAAATGGGGTTTTGATTATCCTGCATGAGTTGTGTGAGAGCTTATATTATTGATATAGTTTTGCTGTTGTTGAACGCTGCCCCCATGACTTCAATTCATCAAGAATTTTCTCTAGTTTTTGGTTTCTTCGTTCAGCTGAGGCATGCCACAAAAACAAAGTTTCTTTCCAAATTTAGCATAAAAGAGGACAAGTAACTGATATACAAAAAGTTATGTGGGTGTTGAAGTATTCCTTTAAGAAAAAATGCTTTCAGGGAAATCTAAATTGTTCTCTGTGGCTAACATGTTCTCCCACTGTGCCTTGTGGCTGACCAGTGAAAGCAGACTTGAGGTTGTATGCTGGCTTTTAGTTTGTTTGACTTACTTTGTTTAACCCCCCATTTGTTATTGCAGCTGTGTCACAGGCGCTCTCAAGGTTTTCAGTGAGAGGAGAATTGTAAGGACCACTTTATTGTACCATAGCACTAACCATGAGGACTGCCTATGCCATTTACAGACAAACAACATATTTTTCTTTCAATGGATTGCCCGTTTTTCGTTCTTTGCCTGGTCTGCCCTCCGTCCCCCCACCTCAACCCCACCCTCTTTGTTTTATACCCTCCCCCCCACCCCTTCTCCATACAGCAGCACACTCAATGCTGTAATCTTTTTCCCTTTACCCCCCCCATCCCCCCGCCCCTTTCATAATTTATCTCCAAGCATCAGGCTGTATTGCAGTTACAAACCATTAGGAATGAGCAACACCACCCTTTTTCCATCGATAGACAAACTCATCTAACATGATCTTTGCTTTTGATTTCATTGCTTGGTTTTGACTTGGTTTTGGGACTTGATTGGCATCCAACACTCCGAGCTTGAGAATGAAGGAAGAGAGGAGGAGGTGGAGGAGGAAGAGAATAAGGGGAAAAAAGAGAGATGGAATGGAGGAATGAATTTTGCTGTAGTTTGACAAAATTCATTTGTCTGGTTCATAGCCCATGCATACACACGTTAAATACATGTACATACCCGTTTTCTGTGATATTTGAATAATAGTGAAATGATGAAAGATTCTTGCTAGAATTCTTTCCAAGGAGATCATTTTGAAGCGCTGATTTTTGCAGGGTGGCAAAACAGATAACACATGGCAACTTATATTTAATCAGACTTATTAATGATTACTATGAGGATGATTTCTTAATTTTTTTATTGTCAAACACATTACATTACATTACATTTAATCTAAGTAGAGATGGTGCATGTAAACAATTATTGTGGATTAGTCGGCCCAGTACTTTGTGGCTCTACACCTGTGTTATCCACTTTCGTTCCACTGCAAATATCTCGTCACACAACTTGTGCAAATACAGTAAAACATGCCAACAAAATCTGCCAAATAAAAGCATGTTAGGTTAAGAGTGAAAGCCTCATATAATCCATGCCCAGGAGAGTTAAAATGGGTCTCTTGCTGAAGGACAGAAAGAGAAACCGGAGGGAAACAACCCCTCCACAGCGATGCCCTTGTGAGCAGCATGCTTCCATCATTCCCATGCCGTATTAGCTGGGTCCCACGGCAATCAGAGCTGCTGCACTGTCTAGGATGACATGTTACTTCACTTCACACGCCCGACAGATCAGACATGAGGCCACATAACACCATGTTTGCCCAAAGAAAAACAGACAGGAAGCCTAATGACACCAAAAAGTCTCACTATATGCAGATGATATTGTGATGTACATTAAAAAAAGATCACTGCATTTTAGGGTTTTAGAGGAGTGTTACCAGGGTTCAAAATTCAGAGTTAGCAAGGAAGACAGATGAACTTGACAGCAGCAGCAACACTTGTCCTTACATGTGTTGCATATTGCTGAGAAGAGGGACCTAAATCGTTGACTACCACACTTAGTCCTGTATGTTTTCTGGGTATGCATGGGAGCTAATTCAACATAGAAATGGAACAACTACAAAAAAAAGCCAGACCACATGCTGTCTTATAAACAGTGCACAGTACTGGTTTTTGCTGGTAAGCTAATGTGGTTATCCGTCTACTTCAACAACAACAGAAGAAGCTTGTACACTGCTTTCAAGGAATGGAAATAACGTGTTTTCATGTCATTCAGGAAAATGTTCAGCAGTCCTTCTGTGGGTGGATTCTAGCTTTGAGGTTGGGGGAAATTATTATTCATAGCTGTCTTTTTTGTAAATGGGATAAATTTGGGGCCCATTTGGGGTCATTTTTCAGTGGACATGAAAATACTTCAGCACACGTTCTGCTTGGTACTATTTCAGGCTTGGATTGATAATGCACTGGAATACTGCATGCACTCTTCCTCGAACTGAGGTCACATCAAATGTACCCACAGCGCATTTCCGTAACGCCAACCTCTCTGTGCCTTGTGTTGCCACATAATCTGATTTGAGCCATCAGATAAAACTAATGTCAAATCCTGTAGGTACATTTGATCGATGCTGCATGTGATGATGATAATACGATGACTTTAAAGAGCCCAACTCTGTGAGCTATTACAGTGCCTCGTCTCCATGCTAAGGTATATAGCTGTGGCACTGGAGTACATGTGAATGGAGAATCACAATGATAACCAGCTCAGAAGGTTGGCTCCTTTAACCACTGAACTTGTAAGGCACCTAACTTTCTACTCTCATCTTCTTCCTCGTCCATGCAGAAGCTTGACGTAGAGCCCCAACCTCTGAGCTCATCGGAGGGGAGCACAGTTGATATTCGCCCCCCAGGAGATGGGGTGGATTCAGTGGAGCTGGAGCCAGAGGAGTCACTGGACCCAGAGGCCTGCTTCACAGAAGGTGAGAGGGATGTTAGGGTGATAGGCAGGGGATAGTGGTGGTGATGGGTAGAGGGAAAGTGGGACAGAGCAAGAAAGGTGGGAGCTGAAATGCTTGTACAGCACATTTCAAGACGCACAGTAAATCGCATTAACTGCTTGTGTATAGCACCGGTGTGTTATACTCAGCACTGAGTGACAGTGAATACAAATGCTCGGCAGGACAGAAAGAAAAGTGGTCTGTGAGATTGTCTTGGTTTGTGATGTAACCTGACGTTTAGTTTGACACACCAGAGGACAATTCTGGATCTGCAAGTACCTCCTCGCAGTCTTTCCTGAGTGTGGAATACAGAAATAAAATGTTATGAGCCATGGTTTAGTGGTGTCTAAACCATAGTAGTAGCTGGGAAGACACATTCATTTGCATTACTTTTACCATTTTCTTGAGATTTGTGGTTCGATTCTAAATTTGTATGGAAACTGACTAAGAAAAGATGGGTGTTGTTTCTGTTGAGTCTAAGCCTGTCACATGGCTAGTTTAATCATGCTATCTCCTTTAGTCTACATGGACCTTATATTAATTTCCATGGCCATTTCATATGCCTCTCCCTCTACATTTCCCACATGCCTGCAGGCTGTGTGAGCAGGTTCCAGTGCTGCCAGATCAATGAGGATGGAGACCGTTTTAAGCACTGGTGGACACTCAGAAAAACCTGCTTTATCATAGTGGAGCACAACTGGTTTGAATCCTTCATCATATTCATGATCCTGCTCAGCAGCGGAGCACTGGTAAGTCTGTGTTTCTGTATGTGTGTGTATTTACCTTTCTTTAAGACCCAAATTCAGTAATAATCTTTAATACTTTTTTTGATAAATCATTGCTTACATTATTAACAGCATGTTGGGTAAGTGGTTCGTCCTAACACATCAGAGCAACAGTCTCCTGGGTTTGAATCTCAATCATGGTCACACCTGATTCCCACCTCATTGATTCCACCTGCAGTGTTTACAATTATTTCCATTCTGTACAGGCGTTTGAGGACATTTACATTGAGCAGAGGAGGACCATTAAAACAGTGCTGGAGTACGCAGACAAGGTCTTCACTTACGTCTTCATTCTGGAAATGCTGTTGAAGTGGGTGGCATACGGCTTTGTCAAGTACTTCACCAACGCCTGGTGCTGGCTCGACTTCCTCATCGTAGACGTATGTATATTAGTCCATGTGAAAGTAAAACTCACAATCTGGTATTATCAAAGACAGTTCAGACTTAGGAATAGTCTGATAATTTGGGAAATACATGCTTTCTGGCTGCTTATGTTTATGCTAACTGTGGGGTTAAAGCCAAGATATGATTAGCTTAGCACTATTTTGTGTACAAATTAAAGAAATAAGAAGCAACGTGTTAATCCACTTCAGAGGTGTTGGTTTGAGCTTTAGACAGAACGAGGCTAGCCGTTTTCCCCTGTCTCTATTCTTCATGCTCAGTTAGCTAGGCTAAGCTAATAGCTTCCTGTAGCTACATATTTAGTGCACAGACATTAGAGTGGTATCTATCTCATCTAAAGGCACGGACACACCAAACCGACATCAAAAGTCTGTATTTGTCAATCAAAAAGGTAAAACTGGAAGACCAACAGGGCCGGTTCAAGATGCTAGTTAGCCAGTTAGCACATAAATGTGTTACCGTGCGCCAGTGAACAGTAATACTAACAACTACAAACTATTTCTGCTGAAGAGTTCAGTGGCTAAAAAATAATCTTGCCTGATATAGCAAGTTTGTTTTGATCTCACACCCTCTTGACTTTAACCATTTGTTTACTTTCCTCACTTCTGGTTCTCTTCTCGTGCGCTGAGCTGAACTGCCAGTCAGAGGGATTTCATTCACCAACAGGCTAAACTGTCTGCGATGCAGATTCAACATGCTGAATCGGCCGTAAAAAAGCCAGCAAGGGCTGATTAGTGACTAAACGCAGGCGACAGACACTCACCGATGGCTCGACATTGACTGACAGCTTACCGTTAGCTTGGTGTGTCAGGGCCCTAACTCAGAGCAGGAAAGCATATAAGAGTATTTCCCATGCCAAACTATTCCCTTAATGGTTATCATACAGATATAAATAGTCAATAGTCATTGTTCATTATTGTCACATCTCTTTATCTAAAATTTCAATTCATTTTTAAACACTTTAAATTCTTAATGATCTCTCTCACTGTTTGCAGACTCATCATTAATGCCTAATCAGCCATCTTGTTCAAACACTCAAACTGACACTCTGCAGAGACCTTTTTCATTCCTCCCCTTTCACCCCGCTTGTCTCTGTCATCGTCGTCTCACAGGTGTCCCTGGTCAGCCTCGTAGCCAACGCTCTGGGCTACTCTGAGCTCACCGCCATCAAGTCTCTGAGGACACTGCGAGCCCTGCGGCCCCTGAGGGCCCTGTCTCGGTTTGAGGGCATGAGGGTAAGGACATCTTGGAGTAACAGTGGCACAAAACCCACCTGTTAATAATGATTGTGGGCAAGCTGAAAGCCTGCATGTGTGTTTATTTTCCCAAAAAACATTTACTGTTAAAATATCACCGACTTTAACAGGATATTAACCTGCTGAGGCTCGACCACATTCAGCTGCTTTCAGCTGGCCCATGCATTTATTATTTTCTTTTTGTCCTCAGCTCAGGACTGCTAAAAGAAAATGCCACAGTATAATTTATATTTCCATATTTAGTTAATGTTTGATATCTGTTAAATGTTACTAGCTACTTAGGGAGCCTGGCTGTAAGACTGCATGCTTATTACTTCTGTAGACTTATCTTTTCCTTGCAATTCAGCACTGTACTTCTTCTATCTGCATGACTTTCTGCACATTGTGTCAATGGATTACTGTATATAGCTGTTCTCAGGCATTGTTCTCTGACGTTGCTTGTGTGGTGCCTTTGACCTGTAATTTTTTTCTTTGTTGTGTGTCTTTTTTCATTTACAGTCAAACAAAATGTTGTGACTTCATCCCGCCTCTCTAAGGTTTTTTTCTGTTTTGCTTTTTTACTTATCAAATGTTAACTTTTTCACCTATCCACCTTCTTCTTTCCAACTGTCATGTTGTTAGACTCTCTCTGTAGATATGTTTGGTGCTAAGAGCTTTATGTGTGCAGACATTACATATTAGATAGAGCTTTGAATAATATAGGGTTGTTAGGAATTTTTAAATCAGTCTTGGCTTTTGTTCTGAAAACCGTAGCATCAGCTTTACAGCTCAATCAAATCTGGTGTCTTACTTAAGAATAAGTGATTTGATGATTGTAATGGCCACTTATCTAAAATAAAACAGCCTCTCTATTTTGGCAAGCAGAGATCTCCGTTTGACCGCCAGGAGCGTGCTGAGTTTGTCCGTGTGCTTCGACCTCTCCAGGTTGTGGTGAACGCGCTGCTGGGGGCCATCCCCTCCATCATGAACGTGCTGTTGGTCTGCCTCATCTTCTGGCTCATCTTCAGCATCATGGGTGTCAACCTGTTTGCAGGGAAGTACTATTACTGTGTCAATACCACCACGGACGAGATCTTCCCCATCGACGTCGTCAACAACAAAAGCGATTGCATGAACTTGGTCAACGCCAGCGCCCGCTGGAAGAATGTCAAAATCAACTTTGACAATGTCGGAGCCGGCTACCTGGCTCTGCTGCAAGTGGTGAGTCTAGATTCAGTGACACAGTTGGCATTATGAAAACTAAATGTCAAGGTATACATGTGTGTCTAGAAGGGTTTAGGATGGAGGACACGTTAAGCAATTATTTTCAATCATTGACTGATTTTAAACTTAGAAACTATGGAACAAACAGCACTTCCCAATGACCCAAACCCACCACAGAAAACAACTTTAAAACAACACTAAACCCACACTGTGACAGTCCCCACATCACATGCCTCCCTCCTCTGCTGCTTGTACGGGAATGTTTTCTTCCCAGGCCAGGTGCGCCTCGTTGAGCAATACAGCACACCTGTGCAGAGTGAAGTGTCAAAAATCGGTGCCTGGAAGTGGGCCTGTAGGCTCCCGACCTTGAACCTCTTGTCTCTTATCAGGTGTCCTCAGATGTCGATTTGGTACCTTAGGCTCAGCTGGCAAATACTTAAAGAAACACTGGAAACAGGCAAAGTCTGATGCAATCAAGTTTAATGTGTCAACAGGCTTTAACACATACAACTTAGTGAGTCAGACTCCGGAGTGTGACTGAAAACCTGCTCTCAGAACCCTGGCTTATATGCTGGTGGAGATTCAAATGAGTCTCCACCTCTTTTTGCTAATCTTTCCCTCTTAAGACCAATTCTATTGGTTGAAAACCTTTCTTTGTGTCTAATTCTGATTGGGCCCATTTTTAATGGTGTAATGCAGCCTGGATTTTCCCAAGTTTTCTTCCCTTAGGTCTGGTTTCGCTTTCACTCTATTTTTAAAAAACATGTGTATTTTTGGGACTTTCTATACAGTCCTCAGTGCTCTCAGTCTTATGCAAGGTGAACCTTTAGAGTGCAATCTGTGAATGTGTATATGTATTACAGCATTTGAGTATGTGTTTCATCGTTCAGCAAGATACAGTGTGTTCTTTCAGTAGGTGCATACAACATGATTACATAGTCTGGTGCTATGGTGCTATGAGTACTTTGACACATACTGTAATGTTTTATCATATTTAAATGTAGATCAAAGAACTTTATAATGCCTTATACATAAAAACATGATTATATGAGTTTCTTAATCAATTTATACATCTTAACCTTACTGTTTGATCTGTTGGCACAAACTTTTACACTACAAGAGCTACAGCAGAGATAAAAAGGGACACCAGCCGTAACACCCGCACCATTAAGACAATGAATAATAGTTTGTCACACTACACTACTGCAATACACACTGCGACAAATTACCACTATTTATTCATTGAAATTAAGTGCACTGGGCATTTAAAATGAGGAAATTAGTGCTTCTTCCCAGTGCTCTATGTTAAGATAAAACAGCTGAATACACAGATCAAAGCACACAATCCACAAGACTCAGAAAAACAACGTCTCACTACGTCTGAGCATGCAGAGTAATCCAAAATGCGCTCAAGTCTGGAACCTGTTCAAGCCTCAATATGAAGCACAAGAGGTGTTGTTAAGTCACAGCAGATTGGGAGTGCTGCTGACAGAAGGTGTCAACTTCTAATGCGGAACAAACAAGATCTTAGCACACATGGCCTTTTAACAAAGGGATGTCTTCAGATGGATTTATTTGTCCAACTTACAGTCCTTAAAATATTCGCTTCACTGTCATATTATATAACAGGAAAAATAATCTCAAAATATAATATCAGAGAAGCTGCAACTGCTTGAAAAATAACTGAATAACTGAAACGATTATCAAAATATTTAGCGGTTAATTTTCTGTCGAGCTACTAACTGAATCGTTGCAGCTCTTACACCTCATATTAATATTGTCAGAAAATGGCACCAGGTCTTAAATATTCCAATAATATACAACAGATAATGACAAAATGATGTGATTGAGTGTTGTGATGATGCAATCATGTTGCAAACCCTCTGTGGGCTGTGGCACACCTCTCCATGGAGAATAAAGGTTTTCTTTTCTACCTCTGTCCAAATCCACACTCACTCTTATCTTAAGAGCCCTCTACAAGTGAAGGAAATGCACTTTTCAATAGAATTTGAAGAATTAGATAAATACAAATACCTAATATGAGAGTAGGATAATTCTTGCAGCTGTAATGATGCCCACCATCATTAAAACAGGTGGGGGGTTTTTTTTTTTAGCTTTTCTGTGTATTTTTCACCCCAGAGGACAGCAGATGCCTCAAATTTTGTAGGTAAATGTGCTCTGTCATGTATCTTTGCAGCCACCATATGGCAAAGTTTGAAGGCCTTTCTTCAGGCCTTTGTTACAGAAACAATATGGATTCATTCATCTCATCAGTCTCATTAGAAAGCTAAAAATCTTCTCTTTCCCCAACAGTGTATTCAACTCAAAATGTGTTTCAGGCTTCAATGTGACTGAAAATAAAAAATAAGTCACATATATGAGGTAATTCTGTTCTAGTCCCAAGCAGACAGTTTAGATAATAACTGAAAAGTGGGAAATATTAACCCAAACTCATTAAAATTCTCTCACAGAATGTTGCAACAACAGGGCATTCCCAAAGCCACCTTATATCCCAAATAACATCTTGCATTATTGGACCAAAATGAGGACCGAAATGATCTCCTACAGACAGACACACTGACTCTCCTCTCATCTGCTCTCAGGCAACCTTTAAGGGTTGGATGGACATCATGTATGCAGCCGTGGACTCTCGAAATGTAAGTCTCTCAGTGCCTAACAGACGGATTTTTAAGTTGTGGTTATGACAGCCAGTCACATGTTTAATTTGTCCTGTCTTGCCTCTTGCAGGTGGAAGACCAGCCTGAATACGAAGTGAACTTGTACATGTACCTCTACTTTGTCATCTTTATCATCTTCGGCTCCTTCTTCACCCTCAACCTGTTCATCGGTGTCATCATCGACAACTTCAACCAGCAGAAGAAGAAGATAAGTTGCATTTAGTAACAGTCGCTGTCAGATAATATAAACTCAGCTACTAGTCCTTCACACTTGAGTGGAGCCAAGCGATATGGCCAAAAACTAAAAATCTTGCTTATACAGCTCTGGGAACACATCAGAGAAGAAAAACAGCCATCACTTTTTCTGTTTTATTTTTAGATGTAATAATATTTCAAAGCAGAGATGAAATCTCAGGTGGTCCCAGGCGTTTGGTCCATGCTGCTCGCTGTTATTAATGTTGACACACAGCTTTGGTTCTGCGCTGTGCCACACTGTGCCAACTCCATGCACAGCCCAGATACAAAGCAGCGCAGATTTAGAGCCATAGCAGTGGTGTTAAAGAAAGAACTGAGCTGCAGAATAATGACTATCTGCAGCACGGTGAGGACCTGCTGCTGCCAAGGATTACTGAGGGGGCATGAGTCACTGAGAAACACCCAGCCTGCAGACACACACACACACACACACACACATATATATACATATGTACACACACACACACACGCAGTGTCACAGTGAGTGTAGTCTGGAAATGTGCCCTTCATTCAACCAAGCACTAACAAGTATGATTAGCAACAGCCAAGAGAGGAAGGGGGGAGGGGGCGACCCGACTGACTGACTGACTGAGACACTGTATTATGAGTTCAGCTGCCCCGCGGCCACAGCGTCACACAGATGGTTGTTTGGTGTTGACACCAGTCCTCCCTCCAGACATGCATCATACACTCAGCAAGCAGCACTGAGAGTGTGATGTGTGCCTCATGTATCATATCAGGAGGGGGATTCATTGCGTTGATTAATGAGAGTAAAGTGACTGCGCTGGCTGAAATTTGGAAATGATTTAATAGTGTTTTTGGCACTTATTCATTTTTAAAGTGTGTTTGAGCTTAATTTTGATAGAATTGTGATGCAGAGAGTCTACAAAATGTATTTACCCTCAGATCAAATACAAATGCAGTTTTCAAGAGATTTAATTTTGAGACACTGTCCCTGTGAAAACTGAGAGCTGGAGAGCTAATCAATCACACCTGCAGATCAGTCTTAGAGGTTTATCCTGCAGGTGCAATTGATTCTGTTGATTAATGATCACATGACTTGTCCTTTAAAAAGAGACTTGACTGCTGTCGTACATACTCTGATGGAGGCAGACATGCTGGTTTTAGTGAGGCAGAGAACCCAACTGAGCTTCAGTGCAGGAGAAGTGCACCTGTTTCCTCTCACCACCGATTTATTGGTTGGTTTCGGTGCCTGTATGGAGTTACAAGACACCAGACAGCAGCAACCAAAATGGTCCCCTGACAAATCATAACGTCTAAATGCAAAATGAGAACAAACAATATTCAATTTATATTACAGAGGTGTCTTATTACGAGGGATACAGTGTTCTCCGTCTTCGGCATCAGACATTGTCTATGAATCTCTTCAGACAGTCATAACAATCGAAGGATTTTAGCTGATTTTTTGATGATGGACTCAGTTTCTCTGCCTTCTCTGTAAATTTGATTTGACATGTGGCTCTGCGTAGTAATAAGGGCAACATCTAATGACTATTTTCACTATGGATGAATGCCAAAAAAATCCTGAAAAATGTCCACAATTTCCCACATCCCTTTCCTTGTTTGTCCAACAACAGTTCAAACCCAAGATAGAATTTACTATCATGTAAGCCTGAGACAAACAATTCACATCTGAAAGCAAGAACCAGTGAACTAAATATACAGATTGTCTGTAAATCTCAAGGAAACCACTCCCTTTTTTAATCACATATCCTATCACTCCTCCTGCTGACTCTGACAGTACTTTTCTGACCCCTGTGAAGCTCATAATTTTAATTAAAACCTAAAAAGTGCACACCATAGAAAATCGGGCAGACAAAATGCTTCACTTCTTAAACACTCCTGGTGTGGTATGACAAAACTAGGTCACAGCCTGTAATGTGGTGCAGCTGAACCCGGTAGAATTGTTCCTCCTGGCTCCCTTATAGTCAAGATGGCATTAAAGAAAACAAAAATGGGGACTAATTCATCTCATAATGTGCCTAACTTTAGTGAATCATAACACATCAGATATGGAATTAATCTACAGATGCTCCGAGTCAAAATGAGACTAAACTTTTCTATGAATGTTAGTTTTTAAGCTACGACAACAGATGACTTGTTGTTTTTAGCCAAACCAATTTCCGTAAAAAAATTGCAGCCCCTAGTGGTCAGTTGAGAGAAGTGATCAGTCATTGACAGTATAAAACATGAAAAAAAAAAAATAGCCTTTTCAAAAACTGTGAATCTCCGCAACCACAGGAGGTCCTTGAACATACAGTTATTCATGTACATTCAAAATATGAGGCTGATTGGTCCAGTATTTGTGAGATTAGCCACAAACAGACAGAAACACACACACACACACACACACACACACACACACACACACACACACACAACCAAGTGCATGATCCCTTCGCATTACGCCTGGCAGAGATAACAAAACCTAGATATTTGTAAGTCATGTGCTTGCTCTGTTGTTTACATTGTTCTCCTAAATGTTAGATTCTTCCATGTGGTTGTAATCAAAATTTGTTTTGCTCCCTTTACTTTGGAGGTCAGGACATCTTCATGACAGAAGAACAGAAGAAATACTACAACGCCATGAAGAAGCTGGGCTCCAAGAAACCACAGAAACCTATACCTCGCCCAACAGTAAGACTCTTAGTGCTCAGACTCTCAGTTCTTACTAATTAAGTACAAGTGGTGGTGTAAAATAACCTCCGCCTTCCTGTCTGTTGTCCTGCTCTGCCCTCAGAATGCGTTTCAAGGCTGTGTGTTCGACTGCATCACAAAGCAGGCCTTCGACATCGTGATCATGATCCTCATCTGCCTTAACATGGTGACTATGATGGTGGAGACGGACGACCAGACGCCTGACATGGACAAAATTCTTTACTGGATCAACCTGGTCTTCATCGTGCTCTTCACTGGGGAGTGTGTGCTCAAGATGATCTCTCTGCGTCACTATTACTTCACCATCGGGTGGAATATATTTGACTTTGTGGTGGTGATCCTGTCCATTGTAGGTAAGGAGACGTTTCAGTTGCCTCAGCTGTCCAGTGGATTTGAAGTAAAATTATATGCTGAATGTTTTTTTGCTTTTGCAGGTATGTTTTTATCCGAAGTTATCGAGAAGTACTTTGTGTCCCCGACGCTGTTCCGAGTGATCCGTCTGGCCAGGATAGGCCGCATCCTCCGCCTTATCAAAGGTGCCAAAGGCATCCGGACGCTTCTCTTTGCCTTGATGATGTCACTCCCTGCCTTGTTCAACATCGGCCTCCTCCTCTTCCTGGTCATGTTCATCTACGCCATCTTCGGCATGTCCAACTTTGCCTACGTCAAGCGGGAGGCGGGAATCGACGACATGTTCAATTTCGAGACCTTCGGGAACAGCATGATCTGTTTGTTTCAGATCACCACCTCCGCCGGGTGGGACGGCCTTCTCGCACCCATACTGAACAAGAGGGAGCCTGACTGTGACAGCCAGATGGAGCACCCAGGCAACTCCTACAAAGGCAACTGCGGAAACCCATCAGTGGGCATCTTCTTCTTCGTCAGCTACATCATCATCTGCTTCCTCATTGTGGTCAACATGTACATTGCCGTCATCCTGGAGAACTTCAGTGTCGCCACAGAGGAGAGCGCCGAGCCGCTAAGCGAAGATGACTTTGAAATGTTCTACGAAGTGTGGGAGCGCTTTGATCCTGACGCCACTCAGTTCATGGAGTACAGCAAGCTCTCTGACTTTGCAGATGCTCTAGATCCTCCGCTGCGCATGCCCAAGCCTAATATGATCCAGCTCATCTCTATGGATCTGCCAATGGTGAGCGGAGAGCGCATCCACTGCCTCGACATCCTGTTTGCCTTCACCAAGCGAGTGTTGGGCGAAGGCGGCGAGATGGACGTGTTACGTGGGCAGATGGAGGAGCGCTTCATGGCCTCTAACCCCTCTAAGGTGTCTTATGAGCCCATCACCACCACCCTCCGCCGCAAACAGGAGGACATGGCGGCCATAATCATCCAGAGAGCCTTCCGGCGCTACATGATCCGCGTGGCCATGAAGAAGGCCTCTGCCCTCTACAAGGAGCAACTGAAGGAGGGCATCCGCGACCCCGACAAGGACGTGATGGTCATCAGCAAGTTTAATGAGAACTCCACCTCGGAAAAAATGGACATGACCCCCTCCACAGCCTCACCGCCCTCCTACAACAGTGTGACGAAATCAGACAAGGACAAATACGAGAAAGAAAAAAGTGAAAAGGAAAACAAAGGGAAAGACAGAAAGAAATAAACTTTTTAAATAGGAACAAAAAATAATAATGCATCAGAGACATGGGGGAAATTTGTTTACAGCTTCTAAAGGGGGTAGGTAGATGTACGCTTGTGTGCTGATTGTTAAAATACGAGGAACGCTATGCCAGGTAGGCCTACAATGGGAGTGTGGTGATGTTTTATGTGAATAAATGGGGTCTTCTCAGAGGGGATGTGGAAACAAATGATCCAGCAGACACTGCCAGAAATGGAACGGAACATGGAAAAAGCCTCTCTGCAAAACGCTTGTGATTTTCCTATTGGTTGTTGTTACTATCTGACACACTTGAGTGTACTGTTCAGTTGTCTGTAGCTAGTGCTGCTGCTACTACTATAAATCCAGTGTCTTGAATTTAACAATCGCTGTAACAAGTACTCTGCATTTTTTTTTTTTTGCTCATTTTTTTGGTTACAAGGTTTGTTTTTTTTTATGAGAAAGAATGTTTTCTACTTTTTTGTGTTCTTCTCATGAGAATGTGTCCACTGCTTTCACTGTTGTAAAATCACCAAGGGCAGATAAAGTCAATGCTGGAAACCACGACAACCGTCTGAAACTACAGTGCAGGGGCCAGCGCCAGAATGCTCTCGGTTCATACAGTATACGGAGCTGAAACAAACAGCATACTGCTGAAGTGCAATGAACAGATACATTGTGTTCACTGGTGTGCCATCAGTGATTGTTGAAATCTGTATTGTGCTTCTATCTGGACTGCCATCTCCCCGTTTCAGTAGAAAACACAAGTCTCTGAATACAGAGAAGCTGAATGTATGCAAGGAATGAGACACATGTAAAGAAATGGTTTGACGTTTTAGGACATAATCTAAGTCACTCTGTTTGCTGAGAGTTAGATGAGAAGATTAGTATGTACCACGCTCATGTCCGGCCTTTGCCTTTGTCATAGCAGGAAAAGCACAGGTGTAATCCATGACATCAAAAATGGCTCCATTCAGTTCAGGTGAGATAGTTACGAGCCCTGGGATTGTGCATTGTGGCACTGGGACACTTTCATAGAGCAGAGTCGTTGTCAATGTTTCACCATTAAAATAATGGACATAGCCACCTTGACGTCACCCATTGGTCTGAGAACATTTTGAAGCCTTAAGTTTGGCATTTTTGCCGTTGCCATCTTGGTTTTTTGGAGCCAGGAGTGACCAGAGTGGACAGAACCCCAACACTACCTGCTAGCATGGTTAGACAGCTGCAGCTATGGGTAACTGTGATATCACTAATGCTAATGCTAATTGTTGCTAACAGAAAACAGTCGTAAAACTATCGAACAAAATGTACTTTCTGGAAAAACTGAACACCCGACTCCTTAGAGGGTCTTTAAGTGCAACCTCACCACAAAAATGTTAATTAATTTTCATGAACTGAAAACACACTGAAACAGCAATAGCAATGACTACGCCTATACTCTGTGAATCTGAAGTTATATTATGGTTACATTACCTAACAGTTTTTTGCACCAGGCTGTAAACATGTTTATTTGGGTATTTTAACATGGGAGTCTATGGGGATTGACTCACTTTTGGAGCCAGCCTCAAGTGGCCATTAGTGACACTGCAGTTTTTGGCACATCCACATTGCCTTCATTTTTCAGCCCCAGAGGTTGCCACTTTTCTTATGTCTTTGTGTCAGATAGCCATGGCTGAAGGCACTATGTTTCGTCTGTCTGTCTGTCTAATTCCTATGAATGCAATATCACAAGAACACCTTGACGGAATTTTGAAATTCAGCCTCAAAAATGAGTTCAAGGTCACTGTGACCTCACAAAGCATGTTTTGGCCAAAACTCAAGAATTCATACGCTAATCATGACCAAATTTCACACACATGTTCAATAGGATAAAATGATGAAGTGGTGACATTTTATATCCAAAAGGTCAAAGGTCAACTTCACTGTGACACCACAACATTCTGCAGAAACACTTTTCTGTCCATTATATTACATCATATCTCAGGAACAGAATTTGGTCAGACACTGAATTGGTGACTCTAATCTTGGGTGTCCACCTTGAAACTCTGCTGTTGGGGGGAAGATGTGTGTGTGTGTGCAGCATCCGTGTTTTCACAGACACAGATGTAAACTGTAAGAGTAACTTGACCAGGTTTGCAGAGGCATATAAACACAAGGCGGTAAATATAGTTTCACCTGTGCTGCTATGACAAGTCTGTGCATGTCTGCTGTGAGAAGGACCTGTTACATGTTACATCTCTTGACCAACCTTGTCACATGTGCATGGCTCACACAGTGTAGATCCTTCCGCAGTGGTTCAGGCAATTTATACCTGCTCCTAGTCCAATCCTAGCTGTACCCCCATGCGAGAAGTATCAATCTTCTCATCTACCTCTCAGCAAGAAAGCAAAGAAGCCTATTTCCTAAAACATCAAAACCGTTCCTTTAAGGTGACACTCATATCTACTCTGTCGTATTGCAGTGTCTCTAACACATTTGTTGTCCTCCCCTTTATCGTCCCAGAGCTCCTGTAAAGAAAAAACCTAAAGTAATGAAATATTCTAAAAAGAAAATGTCAATCTTTCTAACTGCTCTCAAGCTAGAACGTGACAATATATCACATTTAAAGGTTATAATATCACAAATGTTTGTATGACCTTCATGTTGTTTAAATTGAGACGCGAGTGGTTTTAATGTAGTGGTTTGGTTTGTAAATAATATCACTATTTGGGCCCACAGTATGCATCACACTTACATTTGATGTAAGAGCACTTTTTATCCCCACTGCTATGTAATACCACGTGTGGCGGTCATACATGTAAGTGTGCGTGTGTGCGAGACGTGTGTCTGTGTGTTTATTTGTAAGAAAGGGAGAATGTAAGCATCTATCTCTTTATGTGAGCACGTGTGTTTGTGTGCATCTGGGGTCTGCGGGGTGTTCCACCGATTATAAATAACATTTTTACTGTAGATATGAGTGCATTTTTCCAGTCCTCGGATTTGATTTACATTTTTTCTAGAACTCGTTTTTTCCTTTCTGCACTGTAACACACGATGAAACACATGTATGGTCCCCATATCTGTAGATAGACACCATGAAGCAATCAGTAGCCATCTCTCATTGCGCTTGTAGTGTTTTAGTGAACTGCATGCAAGAAGTGACTACTGTCCACTCATATGGTAATATAATTTCAAAGCCAAAAGAATAAAGGACATATTTTTTGTAAATGCTTGTTTATTTTCTCCATTTCCTTTGCAGTCTTTTCTCTGTTCAATGGTTCAAAAGGTTTTTCTGTGAGTGACACGCTCTTTGGTCTGTGATCCGAACCTGACGTATGGACTTTGGTTGAACAGGATCATTCATGTGGTTCAAGTACATGTTACACCTAACTATGTATCGATTTGCAAAATGTGACAAGTGACTTTTTTTTGTTATAACCAAAGATGTGGCAACAAAAGACAAAATCTAGATTTCCAAAATAAAACCTATTTTGGGAAGCATACTTTGCATGCAGGATGCATTCATTGTGAGGTGAGAGCTCGTGTTGCTGGAGGCATGATGGGAGGAGGCGAGAGGCTCAGCATATTCAATGATGTTTAAACAGATACTTAGCTACCGAGATGACGGCCTGTTTTCATTCACTGGATAATTAACTGAATATATCGGAGGCAGCTTGAGATCCCAGTAAGCCCTGCCAGAGGGTGAAACAGAGCCACAAGGGTACAGTGGCAGATCTTCCTATAGGTGAGGGTGCACTCAGAGGAGGGGCCCCCTGCACATTAAAAAAATCGAACATAAAGGAAGTAAATGGTTGAGCGGAGACAGCTCAATATGATTACCAACTCGTCAAATTGTTTGTGATTTAGTTGTCAGACACCAACACAAAAAAGGCACCTTTGCAGCGATATGATACGTCACCAAGCAGCATCAGGTTAAAACACCACCGGACACTAACAATATAACAGAAGGAGCTGGAAAGTCCCTCTAGGGTGGGCAGGAGGCGGACGGATGGGTCCAACAAACCCAGGACTTTCACCCGGAGCCCCGCTGGTCGCTTCCAGTGTGAATGTTGAGCCAGACCATGATGTTTCTTTGATAAACCTAACCATGTGCTTAAGTTGTGCAAGAAAATAAATACAAATATAAGGCATCTAACAAAGAGAAACTGTACATTTCTTGTGAAATTGGAAGTGTATTTGAAAAGACAGTGCATGTAATGAGCGTAAATTTCCACGGAACGTCAACAACAGATGTAGGAGGTGATGTTGTGCATCACATGTAGAAATGAAAGGCCACTGACAAGGCAGCGATATTTGACGAATTGGGATGACAAAACGTTGGTGTTGTCTATTTCTCATTAGCTCTTGTCTTTTTGAGTAATAAATATCAAAATGTAACAATAACAATAATAATGATGAAGTATTGGCAGGGGGCTGGTTTAGGGCGTCAAAAGTGCACTGCACACATGGATGTTTTGTGTGTTGTAATTATACACAATTACACTCCAAAATGTTGCTTTTTTAAAAATGTATCTAAAACACTAGAAATGTTTAATAAAGGGCAAAATACCTGGAACATTTTATTTCATGCTAGTCAGCATCTTTAAGCAGCTATAATCTTTTTTAATACATTGTAATATAGTTCTAGTCAAAAACTGATTTACTCATATCACGAGCCTCTTGTCCATGAGTAGATGCACTCTTCCTTCTGAATGGTGATACAACTGGTGGCTGTAGTTCGATAGAAAGAAAATAGTTCCTACATTAAACTGCTCACAACAAGGTCTGTGGATTATCTTGAGGAACCAGGTCATGATCTCTGTACAGAGACATTGCTGTTGAGTTTTCCAAATGTATTATTATGGTGTTTTGAGCACCACAAGCCGAGTGCCATCTAGTTCTGTTATATCGGAGAGAAGGCAGACATCTCTACAGCTGATATCTCCAACACTCGGCAACTCACACCTAAACAATCTAGATGAACAAAAAGTGCTACAGGTAAGAGGAGGAATATGTATTTTTAATTTGAGTTTCTTCTGGAGCTTTCAGCCACCTCTCCTGTCCTTCATCATCCTGTTTATGACCATCTGTTGTTTCATAAATAAAAATACAAACTGAAGCTGACAACTGAGCAACTGATCTTGTGTGCTGACGAAGGCCACAGGATGAGGCTGAAAGCACTTGAAGATAAATAGTGAGTGGTAAAAATAAAGCAGATTTATATTTCTGAAAGGCAGCAAACAGAAAATGTAGTGAGTCACAGCTGAACATCCTTGGTGGCATCAGAGGGTTGGAGAGACTGAGGGAATGTGGCTGAATGAGTGGATGTTAGAATATGCTTCAGGAAAAACAAATTGTCCTTTAAAGGTGAATTTTAAACAATATATGCAGTGTTAAACATATTAGCTGTTAAACTTATTGCTCAGCGTGTGCTCCACATTATGCACAATCGAGTGCCATCTGCCAAGAGAGCCAGACAGACATGTACAGGCAGATAGAGAAGGTGGCGATGGGATAGACGGAAGAGAGATGGAGGTGAAAAGCTGTGACTACCCCCACCCAGCAGCCCCCTACAAACGCCTTCCTGCTCCTGCTTCTCCCTTCCTGTTGCCTGGCAACCAAACATTACAGCTCCCCTGCCTGTGATTGATCAGCAGCGTCTCTGAGCTTGCTTACCCACAATACCTTGCTAGCTTAAAGCAAGCAGGCATTCCCTGTTTGCTCCAACCCCCCATCACAGTGGACACACACCTTAGCGGTTTGATTATATAAGGAAAGGGCGCAGTCAAGAGATGACCTTGTGTTCCTGATGAAATCCAATGCACTGCCTATACCGTGTGTGCCATTGTTGGAGGATCACTACTGAATGCATTAGTCTCTGGTGTGCCCAGCACCTGCTGCAGCTGTGTGTTTATGCAATGAGCCTGAACATATTTCTATACATCAATAGGCCAGCCATTGAGGTGAGAACACAGAGCTCCCTCCTGCTCCTGTCTGATCTCCGCCTCACCCAAACACAGTCTTGTTAACTCAGCAGTGCTCTCTAGAGGCAGCACGGTGCAACACAAACTGGAAGTACTGGTGGGGTGTATAGATGAGAATGTGACAGCAGGGTGACACAGCACTTAAACAGGAAAGCCACGGGTGTGACGTCACAGTGTCCCCAAAGCATGGCTTTACATTTTTTTTTGCAGTTTTCAGTGAGAAATAGATGATTAAAATACTTCTTGTTGCTGACAGAGGACAGATGTTCTGAGCAAAACTGATCATAGACTGTTCCTGAGGCAGAAAACATGATTAACACATTTACTGACGTCAGAAAAGACTGGTTTAACCTCCTCATGGACTGAGGACGTCAGTGGCAAGCAAGAGGAAGTCAGTTGTTAGGCAACAGACGCCATCTGCTGGTAGAAAAATAGAATACACTGAGAAAATCAAATGCATTTTGTTTGTCCTGATGTAGAAATTATTGTTTTATTTATTAACATATTCCACAACTAACACAATGAATTAAACACCTTCAGTCTTAGATGGATGTTAAAAAGTGTTTTATTCACACTCATGGAAACATACAGTTGCTTTAAAAAGAACATGAAACACATTTGGCCCCCGGGGTTGGCAGTATTGAGAGACAAAGTTAATTGCTCAGACACAAGCCTTTACTCATCTGAAAACTGGAAACAGAGCAGCTTTATTACATCGTTGACATGACTGTAAATAATAAAATAAAAATGCATAAAAGTGTTTTTCAGCAGATAAAATTAAACAGAATTTCGTTATCTCGAAGGTCATGATTTGGCATTATGTTTGTTAAATCTATAGCCTAGCCTAAGTCATTGGCGA